CAATCTTTTGTTCATTTCTTATTGCTGGAATTTCATATTTCCTCTTGTTGGATGACTAAACCGGATGATGGTAAAGATGGTAAGCCGGCACTTTTTACTCAGCCCCGCCCTGCTCAGCCTCGGGAGCAGACGAATTCTCAGCTGGTGGACCGGCTGCTTTTGTCTCTTTGCCATCTTGTGGTTTAGCGTTCTCTGGGCGTCTGCGTCCGAAATTGAAGTTGGTAATTGAAGTTGCGGCGGTACCGACGTTGCGGTGGCTGCTGACCTTGGGTCTCATCTCCTTGATTTTCCTTATCCTCTCTAGGCTGTCTTTGGCGAGGAGGGCCCTGCGGAATCGTGGCCTATAGCCTCGATACATGTTCTGTCTCACTGGTCTGCCTTGTTCTCCTGCACCCTGGTTGTCAGCACCCTCCATCACTGCTCCCTGCACCGGAGGGTTGGAATACTGTGGTCCACGCCCACAGGGTCTCCGCATGTAGTAAGGTGGGAAAAGAAAGAGGGATCAGAGAGCGCTGTTGGCCCTGGCCTTCGGGAGCACTCTCCGACCCCTCATTCTCTTCCCCACTCTCACATTTCTGGTAATTCTGCTGGTAATTGCGGGGAGGACCCCTGCGACGTGGATAGCGTCTATCATGGTTGCGGTCTTCTGCGTATTGACTGCCTTGTACTGGAACTCCACCGGGGCCTGTAACATTTGCTGCCTCCGCACCCTTTTCTCCTTCAACAACATCAAACTCCACCGTCTCTCCATCTCCTGCACTGCGAAGGGACTTCCTGGGGTTATTCTTCTTTATGGCCGTCTGGTGTACAAATACATCTTCCTTGGTGTCATTCCTGTTGATGAAACCATATCCATTCCTTACATTGAACCATTTTACTGTCCCAAAACCTTCTTGTCATGTAGCCGAGGTGATGCCGCCGGGGCCGCCGCTCCCTGCGCAGCTGCCCGTGGTGCCGGGCTTGGGGCAGCGGCGCTGAGGGTGGGGGCGGCGGCGGCTGCTGGGTGTCGGCCTCGCTGCTATGGTTGCGGTGATGGTGACGGGCCGGCTGTGGCAGCTGCGGCTCCTCCCGGGGTGTGATAGTAACTAGGCCAGCGGCGGTGGGGCTGCTCAGGGCTCTCTGGAGTCTGCTCTCCTGTTTTGTTTGTTTGTTTGTTTTGTGTGTTTTTTTAAATGTCAGTTGAATATCCTATATAATAAAACCAAATATGCAAATCTACTGAATGGAGGAATGACCGGTCACTATGACATGCACTGAACCACCAGGGAGCAGACACTCAGTGCAGGAGCTGTCCCCTGGTGCTCAGCCAGAAGCCGGGTGAGTGCAGCTGTGGTGGTGGGCGCCTCTCCCGCCTCTGCAGCAGTGCTAAGGACCCCTCCGGGGAATGTCCACTGAGGGGTCCCGGACTGCGAGAGGGTGCAGGCCAGACTGAGGGACTCTTCCCCCACCCCCACCCCCCAGTGCACAAATATCATGCACAAGGCCTCTAGTATATATATTTGTGTGTGTGTGTTTGTATATATGTATATATGTGTGTATATATATATATATATATATATATGAAAATGTATGTGGCTAAGGAAAATGAGGAGATCAAAAACAGGCTTGTGGATAACACTCTCATTTAAAGAATTACCTGAGAAACAGGAACTACCGAAAGAAGCTGAGTAGGCACTGTGAAATGTATGGGAGAAAACCCACAAAGCCCAAGGTGGGCAAGTTTCAAGACTAGGAGTGCTTGTCAGTGTCAAATGTCACAAGTAAAGTCACTGGATTCAGCCATGAGGAGGTGACTATTACCTTTAGCTAAGGCAACTTCAAAGGAATGGTAAGAAAGGGGTCTTGATATGTTTTAAAGCAGAAAAGGATCCTGATAGCAGTGAGAAGAGGAAAGAAGAATGAACGATGCAAGCAAAACATTCTTTTAAGAAGCTGGTTTGTGAAGGAGAGGGAGGATATAGAATAACATCAAAGAAGGGAAATACAAGGAAAAGGAAAGAAATTTGTTGGGTTGTTATTGTTTGTTATTTATTTTGAAAATGGTTGAGACTAGAATATATTTATAAAACAAAGGGTAGAAAGGCAAATGAAAGTGGATTTTGTAGAAGCAAAGTCCCAGAGAAGGGAAGAAAGTATAGGATTTAACTTACACTAGAGCGATGGGGTGGAGGGTTACAGTGGACTGGAGCATCGGTAGGGGAGGGTTGGGTAAGCAAAGGGAGCTCATGACAGATGGCAGTAAGCAGATAACAGGAAGTGACATTCTCTCAAGTCCATAGTCCATGTGAATAATAGGGTATAATTTCCTTCAACAACGAAGTAGGGGTTTAGAAATGCCTTACAGGGGCTTGCTGTCATAAAGTAGATAGTATGCCCTGAATTTCACAGTCCTCTCTAATACTCACCTCAAAAACCACTGAGCTTTTGTCCTTACTTCTCTCTCACTTACCCTTTCTTTCCACCCCCTCCTTTCCCTGTACTTCTGTTTGATTACTCTCCTGTTTATATTTCTCTTATCTTATCTTAGCCTCCCTCTTCTTCTTCTGTTTTACCTGCATGCCCATCTCTCTATATCATCTGTCCCTTTTCTCTTCCCCTCTTCCTCAAACTAGCCAAAATAAGAGAACTAAGTCAGTTTTCAGTTTTTCTTATACTTACTGAATAATCATTTATTTCCTGGGCTTAAAACAAATAAAATGAAGTTTTCATACTTCTCTTTCTAAAATTAAAGGTGCATTTGAGTTGCAACTGACTTTGTTCTGTTGGTTAAAGACCTTTGATAAATGAACCTCCTGACCCTCTGTCAGACCTATGGGGAAGGAAGCAGAACTTTCCACATGTAACAGACACGATGTTTATTTTGCACACACTGTTGACTCCATGAGAAAGACAGCACTTAAGTGTGACAGAATTAAAGAAAATAATTATGTGTTGAATGTTTGTGTGTGTGGTACTAGTAAAGAAAAAATAAATAACAAGAAAAAAAAAACTCAGAAAATGTATATTGATATCCATACATTCCATTACAACTGGAATTCAAGTGATAGGAAGGAGTATAAACACATATTTCTGGCCAAAGGAAACTGGAAATGTCATGATGTATGTTGCTAGCCAAGAAAATCAGTGACCTTTTTGTTCCCCGGACCTGGCAATGAACAGAATTGTTGCCCTGGTAACAGCAGATGGCACTCCCCACACTAAGAGGGCGCTACCTAGCACACACAGCTCTGTGAGTTCTCACTCCAGCCGGCCCTGGCATCTCAGGAGCACATACACAACTGGACTTGCCACTGACTTTGTGGCTCTTTAGGTGACTTAAGGCCACAAGCTCTCAACTATACTTCAGCAGAATTAATCCTCAACACTGAAGATTATTTGTGAATATATAAAAATTGCATGAGTGAATATATAAAAATTGCATCCATTGCTAAATTCTGAGCCCAGTCTGCCATCAGCCTAAATTGTTGGTCATCACCTTTAGAAACAGTGCTCAAATTGTATGACTTTTAAACAACACCTCCAATTATAAATTTCTTACTTAAATGTTTTGGCATGACCTTTCTAAAGGAATCTTTAACACAATTGTTTGAAACTACTTAATTTTTATGAAAGGAAAATTAGGAGTGGAGAGAAAGACGCGTTAGAGAGCACCAGGCTATGAATCTGGGGAGGGACCTCAGAAGAAGTTCAGGTTAAAATTCCCAGAAGTTCAGGTTCAGATTCCCAGAAATGCAAGCCATTCGGGGGGGGGGGGGGGGGGGCATGCCATTCCCCCTGCAAAACTGTACCGAGGACCGAACTTGCCTTTGTGTTTTCCAGCCTCTTGGAATGTTTCACATACGTTCATTCCAGACAGCACTCTGTTCCACAAGTGTGTGCTACCTGCATGCTCCTCAGCCTCTCCTTTCCTCTGCACTGGACCATTGCTGTCCTTCACAGAAGAATGAAAGAACCTAGTCCAATAATTCACAGTAAATTATTACCTGGAGAGAAAATAACTCCATTGTATCACTTTGGTGCCTTTTGCTATTGGCAATTTTGCCTTTGGAATACTCTTAAGATTATATGATCAACTAGAGGCCCAGTTCACAAAAATTCATGCACTCAGGGTCTCTCAGCCTGGGAGCCTGCTGAGAGACAGCTTAAGCCTGCTCCCTGTGGGGAGCAGGCCTAAGCCGCAGTCTGGCCTCCCTCTGTGGGAGGCGAGAAGCCGGCCCCAAACCCCCATCACCCATTCAACACTGCTGGTCATCACTGCCTTTTCCCACTCCCCCAGTCGCCATGCCCACCCTATGCCTACTGCCATGTGCCTTGGCTGGCCCGGCACCACCTGCTCACCAGCCCCTCCCTGAGCCGACCGGTTGTCCTGCCATTCAGTTGATTTGCATATTATGCTTTTATTATATAAGATAGTATAAAAGATCCTGAAGGCAGTGCCTAACCCAAAGAGGACAAACTTGGAGAATTTCAGCTGGTGTGGCAAACAATTGGGGAAGTATTTGTGGGCAGGAAGAGTATACTCCTATTCCTATGGACAGTCCAATGGTGATTATCTATTCACCACATTTTTTACAAAAATGATCGTTTGCCATGGTTTACATCAAAATTATTTTGAGGTGTTAGCTTCATTGTTGAAAAGAACCTCAAATCTTTTCCTCTCTGTCAGCCCACTTCTAATGCCTAAACCCTGTGCTTGATTTTAAAATCTTAAGAGAATCCAAAGGCAAAAGTAAACAAAGTACATACTTGTATAGGGATGACTTCATGGTTATTTAAAGACATAAATTTGACTCCCTCCCCAATTTGGTTTTTTCTGAGAGTTGAAGTTAACAAATTTCCATGCAGTTTACTTTGTAAGTTTAATGAGAACAAACTTCCCTTCACAACAGATAAGGCTTTCCTTGCATCTGGTTTAAAATGGTTTCTTTTAAATAAATAACTTTTGCTTACTAATTTGTTATGTCTTCTCTCATTTTCCTTCTCCCACTTACATTTCTCAGGACAAATGTTGCCTTTCACTTCACTGCCAGCCCCTCTCAGCCTCAGGTACGTGAAGGGTGTCGAGGTTATGATTCTATTAGTGTTACTCACAGTGTTGCTGTGTTAATGGGTGGAGTCAGCATGTAGTATTGTTCTGCATATTTCACAGCTTCAGATGTATTTGTAATTTGGGAATGTTATCCATGTCATTAGAACTTTGGACACAGCATTTAATCTTATCACCTGAATTGATTATGTGAAATATGAGGCATGACATTTGCAGATATTCCTTGGCTCAACTTTTATTTAGCAGGTGTACTATGTGTCTACTATGTACTAAGCAACCTTAGACTGTACTTGGTGGTGGGAAGAGCAGGATGAAGAAGAGAAAGATGCTACTTCTGCCCTCATGGACCTTTTATAATCAGGATGGGGGTCGGGGAGCAGAGAAGTAGAAGACCAACACTAAACGGATACACAAATACTTAATTCACCTGGAGATACAATAAAATAAAACAGATTTTAATTTCTAGTGTTGTGGATGGAATAAATTAGTTTCTCCTATGTAAAGAGAGAACAGGGATGCTGAAAAAAATATAATAAAAATTAGATATTTATGTTGTGCTCTCCATTAAACTGTAATCATATATAGAATAAATACATGAAAATTTGGTGACACTTCTTGTTACCTTTCTTTTTTTTTTCATGGATTCTGAAGAAGTAAAGTTTGAGCAATACTTTAATACAAATTTATTGAATGTGCTGGTATTTCCTGTACATCTTCTGCAGGCTGTAATACAGTTTGGTCATAAATGGTTACTTAATTTTTGTCTTGTATATACTAAAACTGGGATTAACACAGTAAATGGACTCTATTGTAAATCTATTACAACCACTGTGTGAAGATAAATATTTAGCAATTAATTTTTAGAGGGGGAGGGGAAACCCTGATTTGTAGAATTTGCCCATTTCTGTGACATAAATACCTTCATCATGGTCAACTTCAAGATGTCAATGTGATGTCATTGAACACAGAGTTGGGAAGAGATGTGTACAATTAGCTCCACAAATTCATATGAGCTGACTCCCACGCATTTCTTGATAAATTTTGCAGCCTCCACAGTGCCTACGTACTGCTACCCAGTGATGGAAGAGGTCTATGGGCTCGCAAACCGCTGCCTTCAACATTTATTGGCTAATTAATTCATGAAATATTTGAAAGCACGAGTTGATAGGTGCTATGGGAGATAGCTAGAAAGGAAGGAAAACCTTGCAGAATGAGTCTAGTCTAATAGTCCTGTTCAGAGTTATTGTAAATATGACATAGTGAATGCTTTGTTTGTGGACTGAAATTCAGTGATGATTAGATATTACAGCTTCCTTTTCTTTTAAAGGAGTGTGTAAGTGCTAAAGCCTAAGTAGCTTGACTGTAAACCCCAAACTAGAATAAAATGTACTTAAAACATTTTATTAATGTTATATATATAATTATTGCTGACAGTAATTGTAGCGATGCTCTTGAGTTACAAGGTTGGTTTCCCTGGCGTTTTCCTTTTGGTAACGCTAGAGGGTTCACCTTGGGAAGAGCCCTGTATTACATGAATTTGAGCCAAGCTCCAAAATGAAAGTGCAAAATGAGGTGGGTTCTTAGGAGTGTTGCCGTCTATTACAAGGTGTGGACAGATTTCCAAATAGCAGTGTTAATCACAGCCCTTCATCTTGAGAAGGCCTCGGATTATTGAAAAACATTCTATTCTTATTGCTCTGGTTCTCAAAATAAGGATATTGGAATGCAAAATTAAGTTTTGACATGTTTTCCTTTCCTTTAAAGTGATAGATTTATTAGAGCCCTAAAATATGGGCTTGTTTTGGTTGGCTCCCTCAAATCTTAATCACCTAATTTTTTGTCAAGTTTCTCAACCAGTTACCATATTTATACATATTGGGCAGAAGTCCCCTTTCTTCATTATTAGTAACATTTTTAAAATAAGGTGACCAGACGTCCCGCTTTTGGCGGGATAGTCTTGATTTTTAACAATTTGTTCCACGTCCCACGGCATTTTAAAACACTCCCGCAGGACGCGGGACAAATTGTTAAAAATCGGGACTGTCCCGCCAAAAGCAGGATGTCTGGTCACCTTACTTTAAAAGTTAGAGTTAATAGTTTTTTTTCAGGGGATTTATAATCTAACTAGAGGTCCAGTACATGAAATTCATGCATGGGGGGAAGGGGGTGGGGAAGGGGGAATTTTCCTCAGCCCAGCCTGCACCCTCTCCAATCTGGGACATCCCTCTCACAATCCAGAACTGCTGGCTTCCAACTAACCATCTGCCTGCCTGCCTGTTTGCCCCTAACTACTTCTGCCTGCCAGCCAGCCTGATCACCCCCTAATCACTCCCTGGCCAGCCTGATTGATGCCTAACTGCCCTCCCCTGCCAGCTTGGTCACCCCTAAATGCCCTTCCTTGCAGGCTTGGTGCCTCCCAAGTGCCCTCTCCTGCTGGCCATCTTGTGGTGGCCATCTTGTGTTCACATGGGGTTGGCCATCTTGTGTGTTGGAATGATGGTCAATTTGCATATTACCTCTTTATTGTATAGGGTTAGTATATAGGATTAGGTAAACAGCATAACCTCCTTCTATTATGTTTCCTGGTTCTGATGATATGTGAGAAATTCTTTTACATATATATTAGCCTGCCCCAAACTGAGAATATATATTTCAGGGGCTAGATGTAAAGTTTTGTCTTTGAATCTAAATGTCCTCCCACTTTATTCCAGCCAGAAAATAAATTCTTTAGCAAAAAACTAGAAGAAGAGTAGGTTTATTGCTAATTATTGCCTATAGAAAGCTGGTTAAGATTCTTGAAGAACAGGCTTACCTGCTTTACAAGGTGGAGCCTCATATTTCAAAATGAACATATGGAAGTAAATATTATCTCATATTACATCCCACATATCCCTAATTCAAAGGTTAAGGGATCTTATTTTTTAAAAAAGTTTTTATTGATTTGAGAAGAAGGGAGAGGGATAGAGAGATAGTAGCATCTGTGAGAGAGAAACATTGATCCACTGTTTCCTGCATACCTCCTACTGGAGATGGAGCCACAACCCAGACATGTGCCCTGACAAGCAATATTGTATGAAATGGCTACTTTTTTTTCTTTTTCTTAACTCACTGATATAGTCCTAATCTCTGGCACAGAGCCCCAAAGATAAGTTGCTCAATACTTGTAAGATGAATGGCTGACTGAATTCATGGAGGTTTACTGAGATGTGCATCTGAATTTTGTGCCTAATAGAGAAAATGATCCTACTCATGTGAAAATAGTTTGAATTCATGACTATAAACATTTCTTAAGATTAACAAATCATGTTTCTCTTTTTCTTATTCTCAGTATTTTCTATACAAATTTCCTGAAGATGTGGACTCAGTTGTCATTAAAGTTGTATCTAAAGTGGCTTATCCATGTTCTGTTGTCTCTGTCCAGAACATCATGGTGAGTCTTAATAACTTGTCAACCTTCCAGTGTGGAGTATTATATTGTCTCAGGATAAATGAGAGAGAAGGTGGAGGACATGTCTGTTATCTTCTGCAAAACTGCTAAATACTAAGAACAGCATCTTATGGGCAATGCAAACCAATGTATGCAGACATTGGTTTGGGGCAATAAAAATAGTTAACTCCTCAACAAAATTTAAAAAAAAAAAAAAAAAGAAAGAAAGAAAGGAGGCAGGAAGAGAGGGATGATCATGACAAAGTACAAGGAAGATGAAATTGTGGACCATAGGAGAAAAAAATAGAAACCTACCACTTGTAAGTTTTTAAAATGACAAAAACTGTATGATTTCACTCACATATGGAATAGAAAACAAAAAATTAACAAGCAAACTAATAAAACAAAAACAAATTCATAGGTACAGTCAACGGAAAGGGAAAGAAGGTGGAGAAAAGAATGAATTGGGTAAAGGGGGTGAAATATATGCAAAGGAAAGAATAGACTTTTGATGGTGAGCATGCAATAGAGTACACAGATAGAGTTAATATGTTGTACACCTAAGATTTATGCAATGTTATTAACCACTTTTATCTCAATAAATGTAATTTAAAAATTTTATAGTAACATTATGTCATTTCTATCTCTTCAGGTTTTTTTTTTTAAATATATTTTATTGATATTTCACAGAGAGGAGAAAGGGAGAGAGATAGAGAGCTAGAAACGTCGATGAGAGAGAAACATCAACCAGCTGCCTCTTGCACACCCACTACCGGGGATGTGCCCGCAACCAATGTACAGGCCCTTGACCGGAATCGAACCTGGGACCTTTCAGTCCCCAGACCGACGCTCTACCACTGAGCCAAACCGGCTTCAGCTATCTCTTCAGGTTTTAATTTAAAAAGTGAAAAGGTATTAGAAACCTTAGGACAACTTTTCAGTTCTCTTTCACATAGAGACTTAGGAAACTGTCTCATAACCGATCTGGGAAGAACTTTTATGGCTTATGGCTTAGTAAGGAACTCCCACTCTGTGTGTGCAGTATGTGTAGCATAACATGATATGATGTTAGTGATGATTTCCTTTTTACCCCTCATGTACATTATAGTGCCCAGTGTATGATCTTGACCACAATGTGGAATTTAATGGTGTCTATCAGTCCATGACCAAGAAAGCTGCAATCACATTACAGGTGAGATATCACTTCTGTGGTCACTATTACTGATGATAGTGTGTCAGTTTACCTACTGGAGCAGCATTCAAAAGGAATGCCATTCACTGTGTGCCTTGGAACTCTTCCCTTTCCAATTGGTTTTATTTATTTATTTATTTATTTATTTATTTATTTATTTTTATATATTTTATTGATTTTTTGCAGAGAGGAAGGGAAAGAGAGTTAGAAACATTGATCAGCTGCCTCTTGCACACCCTCCACTGGGGATGTGCCTGAACCAAGGTACATGCCCTTGACCTGAATCGAACCTGGGACCTTTCAGTCCACAGGCTGATACTCTATCCACTTAGCCAAACCAGTTAGGGCTCCAATTGGTTTTAAAAAGAAAGATTGAGCCTGGCTGGTGTGGCTCAGTGGTTGAACATTGACCTATGAACCAGGAGGTCACAATTTGATTCCAAGACAGGGCACATGCCCAGGTTGCAGGCTTGATCCCCAGTGTGGTGTGTGCAGGAGGCAATCAGTGATTCTCTCTCATCACTGATATTTCTATCTTTCTCTCCCTCTCCCTCTGAAATCAATAAAAATATATTTTAAAAAGGAAGGAAGGAAGGAAGGAAGGAAGGAAGGAAGGAAGGAAGGAAGGAAGGAAGGAAGGAAGGAAGGAGGGAGGAAGGGAGGGAGGGAGGGAGGGAGGAAGGGAGGGAGGGAAAAAAGGAGAGAGAAAGGAAGGAAGGAAGGAAGGAAGGAAGGAAGGAAGGAAGGAAGGAAGGAAGGAAGGAAGGAAGGAAGGAAGAAGTGCAAAAATCAAAGCTTGGGCGATGCTGGACAATGCTACTGCCAGGCTCCCTGGGGAATCTTGGGAACCCGAAATGCAATGGGACATATTAATATATTTGACAGGCTGCCTAAAAGAAAGGTAAAGGTAGAATATTTCAATATACTCAATGGGTGATGCAAAATTATGGTAAAGTTATCTCATCTACTAAAAGCAATTAAATATAAAAGAAAAAGAATTTGTAGGAGGATCCAAGATGGCTGCTCGGGTAGACATCTAGCCGCGGCAGCACACAACAGTTTCAATGAAATACAACTAAAATGTAGAGTGGACATTGCCCAGAGGTACAGGTAGTCGACTGACTGAAATTTCTACAACAAGAAGGAAAGAGAAAACCAGAAAGAAAATCAGAGGAGCTGAAAAAAAGCCTAAGGTACGGAGACATGCTGCGCGCACGTGCCCGCCCTCACGCGCACACGGAGAGGTCGCAGCCAGAGAGGAGGAGAGGGCGGGGTGCTGCCTTTCCCTCCCTAGCAGGAAGGAAATAAAACCCCCAGCCTGGGCTGAACCCCCGAACAGGCAGCGCTGAGCCCCAGTTATGGGCCAGACCCTGGGGACCCAGGCCCCGGTGGGAGGAGACAGGGCCGTGAGGCGGAAAAACGGCGAAAAGCAGGGCCCCGGGAGTCGCGCGCAATGCGAGCACAGAGGACTGAATGTTGACTCTGATGCTGGGTTGCCCTAGCCGGAAGAAACAAGGCCTCCGGCGGCGCTGAGCCTCAGTCCGGACTGCTCCGAACCCCAGTTCTGGGCTAATCCCTGGGGACCCAGGCTCAGGCAGAGGGAGATGGGGCTGTGAGGTGGAGTCCGGGGAGAGCGGCGAAAGGCCGGGCCCCCGGGACTCGCGCAAACTGCGCACAGAGGACAGTCTGTGGGACTCGCGCAAACTGCGCGCAGAGGACAGTCTGTTGACTCTGATGCTGGACTTCTCTAGCGGGAAGGAGAAAAAAAAAAGCTCTAGGCTGGGGGAACGCGGAGGGGAGCGGAAGCCCCTGCTGGACTCCAGCCAACCGGGCACCAGCAAGGAGGCGGGCCACGGGGCCCCTGGGGGCGTGGGTGCCCCTGAGCCTTTGACCACTGAGCTCGGGCAATGGAGCCAAGGCCGGGGGCTGCTTCCTGGGTGGCGCCGTCCCGGCAACAGGCTGAAGCAGCGCAGGAGCCCACGCAGAACAAAGGGGTGCCACAGGCCAACCTGCTGAGCTCCCAAGACAAGGAGGAAGAAACCAAAGAAGTTCTCAATGTGAAGAAATCAAGTGAGAGCAAAAAATAGTAAAATTACTTAAGAAAGAATACAAAGAAGATCTTGAAAAATCAAAGACTAAGTCAGAACTCAACTCACCAGCCAACATTGCAACATAAATGCGTTTTAAAAAGAAAAAAAAGGACAGAATGTTGGAACAGCGACGGCCAGGCCTAGAGTGGCCAGGCACAAGGCAGTGGCAGCCAGACCCGGAGCAGCAACGGCCAGGCCCCAGAACAACAGCAGCCAGAACCAGAGCATCAACAGCCAGCACTGGAGTAGCCAGACCTGGGGCAGTGGCAGCCAGGCATGAGGCGGAGGCGGCCAAGCCCAGGGTGGCCAGTGCAGGAACACCCAGACCCGGAGTGGCCGGGCCCGGAGAAGCCGGGCCCAGAGCAGCCGGGGTGGGAGCAGCCAGACCCAGAACAGCAGTAGCCAAGCCCAGAGCATCCAGGTCGGGAGTGGCCAGGCTCGGAGCGGCCGGGCCCGGGGCAGCCGGGCCCAGAGCAGCCGGGTCAGGTGCGGCCAGGCCCGGAGCAGCGGCTGCCAGGCTGGGAGCGGCCAGGCCCGGGGGAGCAGGCGGGTCGGGTGCGGCCAGGCCCGGAGCAGCGGCTGCCAGGCTGGGAGCGGCCAGGCCCGGGGGAGCAGGCAGGTCGGGTGCGGCCAGGCCCGGAGCAGCGGCTGCCAGGCTGGGAGCGGCCAGGCCCGGGGGAGCAGGCGGGGCTGGTGCGGCCAGGCCCGGAGCAGCAGCAGTCAAGTCCAGAGCAACTAGGTCGGGAGCGGCAGTGACCAGACCCAGAGCAGCTGGTTGTGGAATGAACCAGAGCAACAGAGGCCAGGCCCTGAGCAGCCAGGCCCAGAACAGCTCGCTCCTTGCCTGCCCCTGCCCCACGGCTGCTTCTCAGACATGGCTGGAAACTTTCGTGGGAACTTGAGGGTCTGCTGAATCAAGTGATGAAGGCTTAGATCTGGATGTGTTGAGTTAGTTTAGGACTGGGGTGTTGATCTGTGAGTGCCTTGGGTGGGGCCTGGATGAGGCTGGTTGACCTATTGGGTAATGTCTTTTGTGTGAAGTGTATCCTTGGGCATGTGGAGGTATTATTGATATGAGAAAATGCTAAGTAACTGATTTACTATCTGAAAAGGGATTTACTATTGGGGAAATTGAGGGAAGAAGAGACTGAACATAAACTGCACCTATGGATGAGGACAATGGGGGATGGGGAGGGGGCAGAGGGTGGGGTGGGAACCCGGTGGAGGGGGGAAGAAATAAGGAACCTTTGTAATAATATGAACAATAAAGATTGATTTAAAAAAAAAAAGAATTTGTATTAATAATAGTAAGCAAAAGAGGACTTCAGCTGGACAGAATGAACAGCCTTAAGGAATATGGGGTGATAGAGGGATAAAGGAAGACAAATATTTGGTGACAGAAGATGATCTGACTTTGGGTGGTAGACATATGCCAGGAACCAATTTCAGCATGTAATAATTACAAGAGCTTCAACAAAAGATTGGTGAAGCTTGGGTGGCTCAACAAGGGTGAGCCACATATGTAATTACCTGTTGGAATGCAAAATGGCACTTCCCCCAAACCTGAACAGGATAATCATTTGCTGCCAGAGAGCTCGGGGCATTTCATTGCCTTCTGTTGGCCAAACACCTGAAGAGCTGTAGACTATTCCCCAAACTGACAATGCTTCTGTATATCCTTTGAGACCCTATCCTGTGAAGTGTGTATCTCCGCTTGCCTGAGGACAAATTGTATTAATAAAAGCAGGGTCCTGAGTTGAGGAAGAAGTCTTCTAGCTCCTTTAGCTGAAGATCCTCTGACCCCCCAATGACTTTTAAAATTATCTTTCATCCTTGGACTCCTTCTTGAATCTACATGTAGCCCCTTTCTCCAGAATGCTGAACCCTTTGTAAGGCTGGAAAAAGAATCCCGACAGACATATAATGCAATATACAGATCATGTATCATAGAAATGTACACTTGAAGCCTATGTGGTCCTATTAACCAATGTCACCCCAAGAAATGTAATTTTAAAAACATTTAAAGGAATATGGACCATATTTGTGTAGCAGTTTGCCTTTTTGACATTTGTAATTAAATTTTTATTTCAATGGTAATTGCATGTTTGGCAATAAATTGTTACTTTTCTTTTGGGCCCATGATTCTGTCTTTGGCCATTCTCTCAGAGATACCAGAAATTTTGGCATGTTAAGAGAAAATAGAGTTGTAGAAATAGAATAGACCTTAAAATATCCTCTTCCCAATCATGCTTCCTTTATGGATAAGAAAACTGGGACACAAACAGAACTTAGAGAAAGTCAAAGCTAGGACTAACTTGGGTTTCCTGGCTTATCTTTGCCTCCCTAAATTAAACTATTTATTTAACTGCTGACTGTATGACTTTTAGGAAAGTCATTTATCATTAGACTAGAAGCCTGAGATTCAGGCACTGGGGGGAGGGGGATGGTCCCTCAGACTGGCCTGCGCCTTCTCACAGTCTGGGACCCATCGGGGGATTACCGCCTGCCAGCTTAAGCCCAATGCCCTCGGGGATGGGGCCTAAACTGTCAGTATGACATCTCTCTCAAAGTCGGAGGTTCTCACAGACCGTGACCCCCTCGCTGCTTACCACCTACCTGCAGTGGAGTCAGGAGAGGCTCCCGCCACCACTGCTGCATGAACCAGGCTTCTAGCTGAGCAGCACTCCCCTGTGGGAGCACACTGACCCCAGGGGGCAGCTCCTGCATTGAGTATCTGCCCCCTGGCTGTCAGTGCGCATCATAGCAACTGGTCATTCTGCTGTCCGGTCTATTTGCATATTACGCTTTTATTACATAGGATTTTAAAATAATAAAAATCTAATATAGTTAATTTTAAAATAAAGCTTATTAATTTTTAAAATATTAAGTATGAATTATTAAGCATAGGTTATTGACATTATTTATGTGGTGCCTATCTTTCTTATCATAAGAACTTACCATAAGATTGTTATGTCTTATGCAGAAGAAGGATTTTCCAGGTGAGCAGTTCTTCGTGGTGTTTGTGATAAAGCCTGAAGATTATGCTTGTGGAGGATCTTTCTTCATCCAGGGTAAGAGTGAGAGAACCTGGCTACTTGTAAAAATCTGACCCAGGGGAATGGAAGGGAAGTCAAAAGCTTACTTTGGCCCTTTATGACCATTTCTAGTTCCCAGTAAGTGAGGGCCATCAGCCATGACTTATAAGGTAGCTGAGAGATACTTGAGAATAAAATAAAGGTAAGAAAATGATAAATCTAAAAGTATTAGTGATACTACAAAAGGTCACTTAGTGCATTGTATGATTTCAAGATCTTGTGCTCTCAGACCACATGAAGTTGGCTCGTCATTCAACAAATATTTGTTACCAGAAGGTAATGATTTGTATACAGCAGACCAAGGTCCATTTTCTAAGATGGATTTGTTAGCCAAGAATAATGGAGCCTTATTTAGTAGTGATCATTTCCATAAGGATGTGCAAGGAAAACTGAGTTCTCAATTTTGGTTGCAAAAATTAAACCTTGCAAGATAGCAAAACGGGATGAAGTTGTATGAGCTCTGAGGCAAATGCAAATGGTTATCCAGTTACTCAGTAACTACCTTGGGAATGGGATAGGTTGTTGGAAAACACAGGTCCCCAGCAGCTGATGTGATATGTGATCAACAGAGATGTTTATTATTGAGTGTAACATGGTTCCCTTGGTATTTAGGTGAAATTTGTTCCTGTATTTTTTAATCTCTTAATTACATCGCTTTATAGAGTTTTGCTAATGTCTAATGTTCTTTGTTAAACTACATGCTCTTTGGTAACTGTGTAAGAAAAAACAAGTTCTCACTGGCTAGAAAATACAAGCCAAAATACACAGTGGCTTCCTATTTTCGTAGCTGTTTTCTTCATATGTCTGTGGCATGTTGAGCCATCTGGATATCAAGTAAAGGGTCAAGCCTTCTTCACTGAGCAGGGAGGCTGAAGTCTCTTTTGCCTCAATTAGTGCTATCATCTGCATCCAATTTGAACATTTAACCAGAAGGTATTTTAGATGATGTGAAGGTTTGGCAGTTAGGTTTTCCTCTAGTTCTTGCTAAAAGAAAATTCAGCAACTAGAGTTAATTTTGGACCATTTTTGAACAACTGTTCAGATGAGAGGTGAAGACCCTAATATCTGATCCATTTTTCCTTGTTATTTTTTTACCAGAAAAGAAGAACCAGACCTGGAATCTACAACGAACAAAGAACCTTAAAGTGACCATTGTTCCTTCTATTAAAGGTTAGAATTGGCTCAAGGGTTCAGTGGACAGATTCCTATGTCAGGCAGTCAATCACATAATTCAATGCTAACGTCATCCTTCCAGAGAAAGAATATAAGAAAACTAATGTTTACCTTAGAGATAAAAGAGAGAATTAGAGCATCTTGTTAAATTCCTTCTGAAAAGAAAGGGAACTCATTATGAAGCTGTACATAGGCAGCCATTTGTGGATAAAGTCTGGGTGACCTTCAGTAACTTTGCTGCTTTAAATAGAGGCATCTCAAGACTTAAGAACGAGTATGATGAAGACAGGCCTTTGAATCTCTTCTGTCCCATGCATGGTCCTCTTTTCTCCTGACTAAAGTTGTTTCTCTTTTCTCAGAATCCGTTTTTGTGAAATCCATTCTTCTCAGCTTCCTCATCTTCTTCTCCTTCTACTTGGGATGCCTGTTGATTGCATTTGTTCATTATATCCGGTACGTCAAGAATTTCAAAAATGTTAACCCCATTGCCTGTCTCTGCTTAGTAACTGGAGCATTAGGTTTTAGAACCATATTGACTCAACCACTAATTGTGCGACCTTAGGCAAGTTACTTAATTTCTCTGTATTTTAGTTTCCTCATCTGTAAAATGTGATAATAATTTACTTCTTAGAATAATATAATTGCAGTATTTATGTCAATGTTCTGAATGGACTAAGTGCTGGTAAAGTGTTAGTTATTTTAGCAGGAGTAATTTTATCAGGAATTAGTTATTAATAGCAGGAATAATATACTTTAATACTACATTCTTACTGTTGTAGCATCAATTTTCCAATAAAATGTCCCTTAAGAGAGAGAAAAAAGGGAGCTAATTAGACTGTGATTTAACTAAGGAAATGCCCTTTCTGAGAGTTTGGAACTCCCAGTAAAATGAGCTCATCTCTCCTTGCCTCTTCAGCAGGCCTGGACCTTGAGAATTCCATAGTTGTGGTCTCTGTAAAACAACTAAGAAAGCATGGCAGGAGGTTTATATTAAACAAGCGTTCTTTCTCTTCTTGAACGTGTGAAGAAAACAAAGCCAGCATAGAGTTTTCAGATTACTGGGCAAGCTCCCATCTATAGAAAAACCTCATGGCTCCGACAGTGATACAATCATCTCAGTGATGCAGACCTATCTCTGACTCAAAAATAACTGCTTTTGTGATCTTTATGAAGCTTTTCAGTTAATAAACTGATATCAAAAACCCTGGGATTATCACTAGTCATATCTGGAACAATCTCAGCATCAAAACAATTAAGGAGAAATAATTAACTATAAGTCTTTGCAAAAAATAGAAATTCATGAATCCATATTGATAAAGAAAGAAAGAGAGGAAGGAACAACCTAAATACCTAAAAATATACATCTAATGTTGTCAACACAGTTGCTAAAACTTATACACATTAGGGAAAGGAGTTATTAACAAATACTGACAGTGTTAAGGAGGGCATTTGTCTACTGCACAATACCAAAAGCTGACAGAAATATGGAGTGCTGGAATTGGAAAATCATTGTTTTGCATAGATCAGCTTAAGAATCATCAATGGATACTAAAACTAGGAGAAAAAATCTGATGAGGATCAAGATATTTTCATTAAGTTTATCCCCACAAAGTGCTTAGTAGTTGTAAGGGGGAAAATAGTAACTACACAGTGAAGAAATCAGACAATTGACTGGGTGATCAAAATTCATATGACTGAGGAAAAGATAAATATCATGTGCCCCCACATGTGACACTCTGAGAAGGGTATATCACATAATTAATATATAGTGTTCCAGCCAGAAATGCATATTTTGAATATAACCACAAGGAAAAATTAAACTAAAAATAACAGTCATTTTATTAAAATTTGTCATAAAAGACAAAGAAAGGCTATGAAAATGTTCCAGGTTAAAGGAAATTAAAGAGATATGACAACTAAAGACAATACTTGATCTCAGACTGAATCTATTACTAGAAGAAAAATAAGCTATAAATGGCATTATTTGGTCAACTGATAACATTTTAATATAGACAGATTAGATAAGAGTATAACATTAATGTTAAATTTGCTGAATTTGACAACTATACTGTGATTATGTAAGAGAATATCTTTATTCTATTTAAGCCTAAAAGTTCATGACATTAACTTACTTTCAAATGGTTCAGAAAAAAATGAATATATATATATATATATATATATATATATATATATATATACCAATTGTACATACACAGAGAGACAGACGGATAAAGCAAATGGAGTAATATACTAACAATAAGTGAACCTGTGTAAATGGTATGTGACTGTTGTATCGTTATAATAAAGTCTCCATAAATTTGAAGTTATTTTCAAATAAAAAGTTAAAAACAAAGACTCCAGTCTACAGGTAGATATTATATCTAAAAGTACATACATTAATTATAAGCTCAATTAATTTATCAGATTACAATCACTAACATTTAACAAGTACCTGCTCCGTGCCAAACTCTCTAAGCAATGATCTTGTCTAGTGATTTACAGCAATGGGTACCAGTATTATCACCTTTGATGGTGAAGGAAATTGAGGCATCGAGAGATGAAGCAATTTGACCAGGAATTCACAGCCAGTAAATGAAAGAGCTGGGGTTTGAAACTAGAGAGTCAGCCTCTCTAGAGGCTCAGATCTTAAGCTGCTGGTCAAGATGGGTCTAGAGTGGTCAGGGCATTGAGGAACGGCAGCCTCCGCATTGATTCACTTCAAAAAAGGTCCAAAAAGCTTCCAATTTTGACTCAGATGAGCTTCAGTGTCATGGAATAAGAGGATCACCTCTTCTGCTTCTCTTAGGAAGACTGTCTCTACTCTTGATGTTTTAGATTTGAGGAGATAGGATTTCACCTCTTTAGTTAGTTAACATGCACAGTCAGCACACAAACAGACAAAAAATTAAGTTAATAGCTGGATATCAATCTCTCTACAGTTGTTATTCAACCTACTGTGAAAGCACAGTTTTTCAAAGTTGTACTATAAGGCTCTGTTGAAATCGCGAGCTGCCAGATTACTTTGCTACAGACAATTGCATGAACAGAGATTTTTTCCCCCAAAATATAGACAAACTGAAAATAGAAATCTTAAGACATAAGAATTAGCTGGCATTCTAAATAGGGGAATAGACTATTCTAAATAGGGAAATAGGGGAATAGAACTCTTCCTTCATTGAACTAAGCAGAAATAACAAAGTTTTCTACAAAACCAAATGAAACTAGTTCTGGAGCATAAAGCCATTTGCTCAGTGAGTCCCCTGTCCCCTATTATTAACACATGAGAGGCTTTCAGTACCTGCTATGAGATTAGGATTGAAACACTGGTTAGAGATATCCTGGCCCTCAAAGTGTTTTTATGCTATATTCTCTTGAACTCATAACTAAATACCATTTTCCTCCCTTTCTCAAATTCAATCTATTCCGTATTTTTGGAGCCCCCACAATGAATGTGTAGGTCCTGGTCCAAGCACTGCATACATATTCTCTTGTTTGTTCCCCTCAACCACCCTGCCAGACATTGAGTTCAAACTACTCAGTTCTGGGTGCTTATCCTTCTCTTGACACTTGTATTAGTTATCTATTGCCATAATAATGCTGCATAAAAACCAACCATAAAAACTTCAGTGGCATACATCAATAAATATTTAAGTTTGCTCACAAATCTGTGGGTCTGCTGGACTGGGCTGAGATCTCAGCTAGATGTGGTCACAGAAGGCAGCCAGCTGGCAGGTCACCTAGGAGCTGGCTCTGCTAGACTGTCCTCAGCAGAGCTGGGTCTCCCACCCTCCTGCACACTAGCTCTGGCTTATTGTATCTCTGGTAGAGAAAACAGAAGAATGTGAGGCCTCCTTAAGACAAAGCTGAGAAACGGTATTACTCCCCCCTCATTTTGTGGGTCAAAACAAAGTATGAGGCCAGTCCAGATTTAAGAAGTGAAGATGCAGACTCCACTTTTGATTGAAGGAGCTGGATACAAGATGAGGTGTAGCCATTTTCAATGTCTAGCATAGTTCTCATCTACTATTTTTGCCTTTTCTCACTGGATACTGCCTGCCTCACCCCAGCTTTGTAAATCATTGAACTCCTCTAATGAAAAATTTTATCAGCTCCAAAACCTAAGGCAAGCGTGGGTAAAGCCTGTTAATACAAATGCACAATCCAAACACATCACCTTAATGAGGCCAAATACATAATTGCTTGCCCGTTAATATCACTAAAATTATTTTTAAAGGGGACTTCATTAGAGCCTCATTTGAACAACTAGAACAGTTAGGCCAAAATTGTAACTGCTCTCCTTAATGATATGCCTTTTTCACTCAACAAATATTTAGTTATCATTTCCTATGTGGCAGGTCCTGTACTAGAGGTAAAAAATACAGTGGTGAACAAGACAAGTTAGAGACCTGCTCTAATAGAACTTATATGGTACAGAGAAAAACATATAAGTAAGGAAGCAAGTAATAAAATAATTTCAGCTAGAGAGAGAAGAATAAAGACTCCGGTGTGATGGAGAATGATTTGATTGAGAAAGCTACTTTAGATTTAATTTATTCAGCAAGGAAGACCTCTCAGAACCAAAACTTGAATAGCAGAAAGGAGCCAGCAATATGAGGATCTGGGGAGAGAGTGACCCAGGCAGAGAACAAGAGCAAGAGCCCTGAGGCAGGGATGAATATGCTGCATCTAGAGAAAAAAGAGATATGAAGAGAAGTTCCTCCACCAAATATACCAGGTCAGGAATGTGCCACTTCTGGAGTCCCAGTCTGGAAGAAAATAAGAGCATATACCAAAGTACAGGTGCAATATTCCTCCTCCTCCACTCCAGCCTCATTCAAAAGGGAGGTTCACTTTGGGGAAGAGGGTAATTCACATTTAAATTTTTGGTAGACATTCTCAAATGGTATACATAATTTTTAAATAATAGCTATTGAGATATAATTCACAGAACATAAAATTCACCCTTTTACAGTATACAATTCAGTGATTTTTAGTATATTCACAGTTGCACAACCACCACCACTATCTAATTTTCATCACTTCCAAAAAGAAGCCCTGAGTTTACTGAGATTACAAGATACTAGGTCAGTATACAAAAATCAATTGAATTTCTACACACTAGCAATTTACAATTCAAACATGAAATGAAGGAAATAATTCCATTTACAATAGCATTTAAAATAATAAAATATTTAACACATTTAACTAATTAAAACTACAAAACACCTTTGAAAGAAATTAAAGAGGACTTAAATGGAAAGATGTACCATGTTTATGGATTGGAAGACTTACTATTGTTAAAATGGGATAGTAGATATAATAATGGCCCCAAAAGATGTTCATATCCCAATATACAGAACCTGTGAATATGTCACTTTACAGGACAATAGAGATTTTTCAGGTGTGATAAATTATGAAGATTATCCCATATTATCCATATGGATATAATGTAATCACAGGGAGACAAGAGGATCAAAGGCAGAGGAGGAGATGTGATAATGGAAGCAACCATTGGAGTGATACACTCTGAAGACAGAGGAAGGGGCCATGAGTCAAAAAGTTGAAACAACCAAAATGTCCACCCGAGTGTAAACAAAGAAATGTGATATATCCATTCAATGGAATATTAGCCATAAAATGACTGAAGTATTGATTCATATGTTCTATAGATGAGCCTTGAAGACATTAAGTGAAAAAAGCCAGTTAAGAAAGACTACATATAGTATATTTCATTTCTACGAAATGTACAGAATAGGCAGATTTATAGAGACAGACAGTAGATTAGTGGTTGCCAGGAGCTGGGAGGAAGGGGAATAGGGAGTGTCTGCTAATAGATTTGAGATTTCTTTGGGGGATGATGAAAATGTTCTCAAATTAGGTAATAGTGATAGTTGCACAACTTTGTGAACATACTAAAACTCATTGAATTGTGCATATTAAAGGGTGTGTGAATTTTATGGTATGTGAATTATCTGAAAATAAATTAATGAATTTACGTGTGTGTGCATGCGCACAGGCCTAGGAATAGAACTGCTGAATTATTTGGTAACTCTATGTTTAACTTTTTGAGGAACTTCCAAACTTTCCCTAAATGGCTACATCATTTTACAGTCCTATTAGCAATGTATCAGAGTCCCAAGTTCTCCACATCCAAAGGTCCATTTTTAAGAGATTCAAGCAGACAAATCTGCAGTTAAGTCAATAGAGGACACATATAAAATGCTGAGGTTTTTGCTGCCTTAGAAGCATGTGTATGTGCTTTTCTTGCAGGTTTCAGAGAAAATCCATTGATGGAAGCTTTGGTTCCAATGATGGTAAGAAAAATCACTGGTTTCAAATCAAATTGATGTCACGCATATGGTAACACTCCCATTTGGTACTTCTTTTGTCTCTATGTCCTTTGTCATTTCCAAACCTTTCCTTGGTTCCTACCCCACAAAATACTCTAATCCACAGCCTTTCTACAGAAAACGGAGCTCAGTGAGACCAACAATCACTGAGATGTGGAACTCATATTGAAAGCTTTTGCTGGGAGCATCCCTTGTAATTATCCACCAGCCCATTTGTCAGCCATTCATCCTTTTTAAAAGTAAAATCTTTTCGAGGTTATAAACTGCTTATACTTATCCTCAACTTGATTTATAAACGATATTAGAAATGTTTTGTTAACTCTAATTCAGAGTTTACTTTTCCCAAATTGAGATAGAGGTGTTGTTGTTATTTTTTTATTCAAGTAACTAGAAAATTGAAATATTTGAAACTAGCAAATACCATAAGAATGATAACTCTGAGAAATCCAGAGTAATTGATTATCCAACCATTGTAATATGCCCTTTCCTCCACTCTGAGAATTTGAACAAAGGAATTTAATTGCCTGACATTTTTTATCTAAACTTTTTTAAAAAATCATATGGCTTCATTTTTTAAAATTGAGATATATAACACTGTATGTTTCAGGTATACAGCATAATTAGTCAATATTTGTGTGTTATGTAAAAGGATCACAATGAGTTCAGTTAGCACTCATTACCACACATGCACATTATTCTTGTGATGAGAACTTTAAAGATCTCCTCTCTCAGAAGCTTTAAATATACAATACAGTATTACTACAGTCACCATGCTGTACAATAATAACATCCTCAGGACTACTTATTTTATAACTGGAAGTTTGTACTTTTGTATATGTCCTCATTTTTGAAAAGCCTAAATCAACATGAGTTTTACAGTACTCATACGCCATTTGGCAAAGAGTGATCATTTTGGAAAAGGAATGATAAGTGAGACTTGATTTTTAAGTCACAAGCAGCGGATGTTTAGTTTGTGTTTTCAATACTTAAATGAACCCATGGAATCTTAGAAAGACACAAGTTGAGCCCCTCCCACACACACAACCAGCAGGCATTTCCCCCCTGCTGCTTCTCCTGCCTTCCTTTGACTTTTGTCTTCCTTCCTGTCAGCATGTCTATTTTTCCAGCCACCCAGGCAATTTTTTTAAATAACATTCAATAGCCACTACAAGAGTCTGTGAAAGGACACATGCTTTACTGTCATTAACATGCTAAATACTACTTTTTTTTTTTTAATCCATAAAATGTTTAGGTAAATTTGCCTTCTCTCTGGATTTCCCCTTTTTCTCTTCAGTGCTCCCCAGGTTTTGTTCTTATTTATGCCTGCTTGAACTTAGAAAGCCTGATTGGTTGGATCCCATTCGGTGCTCTGTGAATGAATACTCTGTTGTTTTTATTGTATGAGTGAAGTCGTTTATTATTATAATGATAGTTAAAGGAACACCATGTTCAGAAGACTCTCCTGAACAGTGAAACATAGGTGAACAGAGCTGGGACTTGGGCCAGATTATTGTCAAAATCAAGAAGGCCCTGCAAATTAGCTAAGAGCTAGAGGTGCCCTTCAGATGGCCGAAGAACTTAATGAGTGATCAAAAGAAAAGGGAAGGGGGGGAGGGCAATGGTAAGATATGTACACATATAATACCTTAGTAAAAATAAAAAATAAAATAAAAAATAAATTAAAAAGATAAATAAAATTAAAAAAAAGAAAAGGGAAGGAAAGGAAGGGAAAGAAAGGAAAGAATAAAGGTGCATCAATTAGGTTTCATGTGGCTGCAAGTAACAAGAAATTCTATCTCAAACATGCCTAAACCATAGGAAGCTCATCTCCCTGGAAGTTGAGCAGAAAGTTGGGCTTTAGGACTGACTGAGTCAGGTGGCTCTGGTCCTTTCTCTGCCATTTCCTTAGCTCTCCTTTGCTCTCAGTGCTGGTGATGAGATGGGTCAGGTTTATACCCTCACTTGACAATGTCCAGAAGGAGGGACTTTTTCCAGAAGCACTCAGCAAAGTATTCTCACTTTATTGGCCTACAGTGAATTGTATACTTATTGGTAAACAGTCCCTGCAAAGGAACATATTTACCCACAGATGCATTAAGCCTACTTATAGAATTAGGATGAGATCATCTTTTGCTAAGACCAAGGTTTCTCAAACTTAACATTAATTGACAGTACAGGCCAGATAGGTCTTTCTTTGTTGGGGGCTGTCCCATGTATTGCAGGAAGTTCAACATTTAACTGCATCCTTCACCTCTACCTACTAGAATGCAGCAGTACACTTCCTCCCTGTGACAACTCTAATGTCTCCAGACATTGTCAAATGTCATCTTGGGGACAAAACACATTTTCTCCATCCCTGATAATCACTGACTTAAACACAGGGACTACCAGGCACAGATGAGGATACCTGAACAAAATCCCAGCTTAGTTAGGAAGTTTGGAATAAGAAAGTTCACCACAAAGGACTTTGAAATAGGGTGGAAATAAAGAATCTTTGTAGCAGAGAAACTACAGGGAAAGACCAAAGATAATACAACTCATGTCACAGGACCACTAGTGAGAGATGACTTACATGATTTAAAACAAGAGCAGAGAAGACAAGATCTACCCTAGAGAGAAAAAAACAGTTAGTGGCTTTTTTAAACATATCAAACATTGATAATCCAGCCTCGGAGAGGGACTTTAATCTGGAAGCAAAGGTGGGCATTCAGGGAGGAATCTTTGGAGAGGACAGGATTCCGAATGTCTGTCTCTCCCTAGGGCCAAGATTAGTGTGACTGTGGAGCTCCAGGAAGTTCAGTGGAGCTCAGAGCTCTGGGAAATGCTTGGGGGTGGTGGCAGCTCTGTTTTAGTTAGGTAACCACAGGAAGGCTACATCTGGAGAACCTGCCAACTCCTCTGCATTTGTTATTCTTTGACTTGTCTGTAGTTCTTTAAGTTTTATATGAACTATATCAACATTGGCTCCAACTATCCTAAAAAGAGAAAGAACTCATTTTATACTTCATTGGATGAAAAAGGAGAGGAGACCCCAGAGCCAGATGAAGTGGAAATAGTGTTGGTAAAAAGCTTCTTCAGTCCTTGAAGGGACAATGTATTCTGTATTCATCACTTAGGACTTAAAGCAGGGTTCTCTGGGGTCATCTGAAGAGGAGTAGGAAAAGCTCTGTGCTCTAAAAGCCTTTCCTCCATTGGCTCTCTCAGCAGAGAAACCCACATTTCTCATCATTGTTAAAGAGTCTGTACAGAAATCCAGACACCAAGTGGGATGAAGGAAGCATACCTCACAAGCCTGTGGGGCACCTGAGCTGTCACCTCAAACCTGCGGGTAGCATAAGACAAGGTTACTTTTTCAAGTAAGAGAGCTTGACAAACCTGTCAGGTTTGTACATTTAAGAACCAATGGCCAAATCCAATGAACTCTTCCCTGGGTAGAGCCATTATTGAGTCAGCCTCTCAGCAAAAAGCAGGGTTCAAAGGGAGTAACACAGGCAGTGTGTTGAGTCTAGAGACACCAAGGAGCATGGGTCTTCACCAGGCCCTGGGACAATGGGTCTCTAATGTGAGTCCGGACTCTCTACTCTTCTTTTTCCAAATTTCCTTGACTTTTCTTGCTCAATTTTTCCTTTGAGAGGAATTTTATATCCCTCTACAAAGATTAGTGGTTCCCTTCATTTTCTCCTCAGCTTTTGAAACAAAACATGAAATCAGTTGGGGTAGGTAACCAACTGACTTAAAAAATGGAATTTCATGGCAGCTAGTTCACATCATTTCCGACTCCCTCTTCAGCTTCCAACTTCCTGCGTTCAGAAATGGAAAGAGACAGGTCAGTTATAAATATGAAGTCCCTGCAAGTTCCAAATATGCTCAGAATGAAATGACATTTTTCCCCCCTCACAAAGAGCATTTAATATAAAGAGCAAGCATGCAAGCGTATCTTTTTCTATGTTAGTAAAATAGACAGATGGCAAGGGGGTTGTGCTCAGAGAAAAACACAACGGAACAAGTTTCCTCAATTAGATTAGCTCATTCACAACCTTATAAGTTTGCTTATTTCCAGCCAGAACATCTTGGTCTGTCCTATGAGCTAATATTTTTGTATTTAATTCTGCTTTCTCAATATCATACAGATAAGTGTAAAAATGGCTTTCCCTCTAGGACCATTGATTACACTTAAAGTTTGGAAGAAAATACTTTGGCTTTTTATTCTAAAAAGGTTTAGACATAAGAAAAATTATTTGGTGTTGACTAATCATATATTTAAATTATATCTATAGAAGTCCACAAAGTTCAAACATTTTACATGCTGGCGATTATATTGCACATGAAACTCTTAATGTTTTTAATCATCACAGAACCCTTGCTGTTGGCTCAGAATGAGGCAGAGCAAAGTACAGAAATCAGTAACACCATCCTACACAGCTGGCTTTTTCTTCTTAATGGAGTTGTCACCTAACAAAACAGTGGTTGTTTTTCTTTACTCATTTGCTTTTATTTTAGTTTTTATGTGTGTGTGTGTGTGTGTGTGTGTGTGTGTGTGTGTTTCCTCTCTTTTGATCACACACACATACAAACTATTTCCCACAAACCATTACAACCTTCTGCCCAAACTGGCCTCATCATTTTCCTATGTGCATTTCTATTTACCTCATCAGAGGGCTTCTCAGTAACACCAAAATGCCAAAAATTCTGGGCTTAATTGTTTTAGTGTCATTCTTCACCTACTATTTGAACATTTATTTTTTTAAATTAAATCTTAAATAAGGGACAGAGGTTAGTGGTTAAAAATAGGGAGCTTCCACTCGAAAAGAAACAAAAATGTGAAAGGGACTGAGGGAAATGTAAATGGAAAAGACTGGCTATAGCATCTAGGAATACGATCAATACAGTGATTTTTATGAGACTTCCCACAATGAACTAGACAGAAAGAAGGCAGGAGCATGGCCCATAAGGAATCATTGACAAGCACAGCAGCCAATCTAAAGAGCAAAGCCTGTGCTTATGGTAGTGGAGATGCATATGAGTCTCAACCTCCTTGTCTCCTTTGAAAGATATTCTGGAGCACTCGCCAAAACAACGTGCTTACAGACAGTTATTCATATTTTGAAGGAAAACCCTTGTGCTTCTTTCAATTAAGAAAATTTTAACTGAGTCCAATATAATAAGCCAATATTCATCCAATACCAGAGTGACGCTGGGCAATGGTGATACCAATAGTACCCATTTCACAGGGTTGTTGAAAAATCAAAATTCTTGTAAAGAACTCAAAAGAGTGGCTGATGCAAAGTAAGCTTTCAATAACCATTGGCCAATAGTAGTGATCGTAGCAGCAGCCTCCGCTGCAGCAGTAGTAATAGTAACAGAAGCGTTAGGAGGAGGAGTGGTGGTGGTAACAGTGTTAGTACTTGTTATAGTGCTAATATAGTCAATAGTGGCAGCAGCAGAAACAGCAACAGAGCTCTACGCTGTAAGTATGGCCAAACCTGTCCTAGGTAAAAAAACGTTAGTCAAATTGTAATCAGCATCTTCCCATAACACTATTATGTGCTCAAAAGATTTAATGTCTCATGAAGAGTCTAAAAGTAACCTGTTTCTATGCCTGGAAATTGGATGAAAAGTGGAGATGGTGTTGATACCATGCAATTATGGGTAAGTCCAAGAAAAGCCAGGGAACATCTTTCTTTAAACAAATAAAAAATACATCAAGGAATCTCCAAGCCTAGGAACAATGCCAGAGAGTCTGCATTCTGAGGGCCCTGGAAACAGCCTTGCCTGCCAGGAATTCTGCCGTTTAGCTCCAAGGTGTTGCTGTCCAGCTGCTGAGCCATCAAAGTAAGGAAGGCAATTGAGTCTCCAAGACCATCAGATGTCTCACGTTGTTTGGCTAAATATTTTGGACTTGAGATTTAATTTTTCTTTTCATGGAGGAAATAAATGGACACACAAAGCATAAAACAAACAAAATAAAGTGGAAAGCCTATAAAGTTGGCTTGCAAAACGGAATGATTTTACTGCCCACTAGTGGAAGTGTAGTTTGAGAGCTGGATGAAGAGAGCCAACTGTGACAAACGAACTGTTTGAGGCTCTGGGTCCTTTTCCATGTGTTACACTCTAGAATTAACGTAAACTATAAACATCCATGTTTTCAATGAATAGAAATATATTTGCAGTGAGGATATGAAATATGGCTTCTCTGAAAAGGTATTTCCCTACAATAGTACAAGAGACTGGCAAGTAACAAATTTATTTTGCCTGTATTGTGACAGAAGCAATCGCATCTCTCAGAAAGAAGATTTCCGTAAGTAATCCCCACCAGCCCGACAATATCCCAGATCCTTGGCAAAGCTCAGGAAACAGTAAAGAATCGTTCTCGTGTGTCTCCACAGATGAGTGTGGCTCTCGGAAACATGTCGGCACTAAGTCAGAAAGCACCTAAATACCTGCTTAGATGTATTTTTTTAGAAACTTTTTCTCTCACTGACAACAACCACTTGGCAATAGATACTCCTATTCTACCTCCTAAATATCCCTCAAAATAACGTTCATTCACATCCTCAGTTCACGTTACTATTATTTATTGCTACAAGGAGTGCGGAAATTTCCTTTCTTGTCTGAGCTTTTCCAGCCTATTGTGAGGGTTCTGCTAACTGCTGTAACAAGTAAACCTCCAAATGACAGTGCCTTAATCACAGGCGTTTTATTTCTGACATTTTTGTTCAGTGGTGGCCTTCCTCACCAGGAATCAGCACCCATTCTCCTTTGTTCTTGTGGTTCTGCAATACTGTCCAGCAAGAATCATCAGCTTTTCTCTAAAGTACCTAATAGTACACTAGCCGGTTTGGTTCAGTGGATAGAACATCGGCCTGTGGATTGAAGGGTCCCAGGTTCGATTCTGGCCAAGGGCACATGCCCAGGTTGTGGGCTTGATCCCTAGTAGGGGGCGTGCAGGAGGCAGCTGATCAATGATTCTCTCTCATCATTGATGTTTCTATCTCTCCCTCTCCCTTCCTCTTTGAAATCAAGAAATATATATATTTTCAAATAAAGTACCTAATACTAAATATGTTAAGCTTTGCCAGTCATATAGTCTCTGTCAAACCTGCTCATTGTAGCTAAAACAGCCATAGATATACCCAAATGAGTGTAACTGTATCTCAATTAAACTTTATATATGAATACTGAAATTTTCATTTCCTAGAATTTTTACCTGGCATGACGTATTATTTTCCTTTTGATTTTTCCCTCCAATAATTTAAACATTTAAAAATCATTCTTAGCCAAAACTGGTTTGGCTCAATGGATAGAGCGTCGGCTTGGGGACTAAAGGGACCCAGGTTTGATTCCGGTCAAGGGCATGTACCTTGGTTGTGGGCATATCCCCAGTAGGGGGTGTGCAAGAGGCAGCTGATCGATGGCTCTCTCTCATCGATGTTTCTAACTCTCTATCTCTCTCCCTTCCTCTCTGTACAAAATCAATAAAATATATATTTTTTAAAAATCATTCTTAGTTCAAGGGCCATAGAAAAACAGGTGGCAGGCTAGATTTGGCCTGTAGGCCACAGTTTGGTGACTCCTGTATTAGCGTAAAAAAATATCAAATTTAAAATATTGTGTGTTGATCATTTAAACTACTTAGAATTGTGTTGTGTTCCTTGGTTTTAGCAACTCTTTGCTTTGCTTTTTTAACAGGCTCTGGGACTCTGGCGGTGTCACATCCCATTGCTGCCAGCACCCCCGAAGGGAGCAGCTACGGGGCAATAGGTATTTCCTACGAGTCCATTCATGGAAGAGCTTCCTAGTTCTCCAGCTGCTAATGACTGTGAGAGTGGGCAAGGCAGTCCTCACATAAGCCTGTATGGCCTTTCTAAGATGAATTGGTTGGATGATCTGGAAGATGCCTCCAGTTCTATTATTCTGTTTCTTGGATCTGCTAGCAACACTTGAGCAGAATTCCCTACAATGGTTTGCCATCAACCTCCCAAGGCCCCCAGGGAGATTTTTTCATACCCAGCCTGACTAGGACCTGAAAGAAGTATCGGACTCTGATGTCAGGGAGCCCAACCTCAACTGATCAACTGTTTCATTCTCAGGTTTCAGGGGAGTGAGGGCAGTCAGAAGACTAAGGCTGAGCTGCAGGTGAACATGGCTGAAGCCCCCCAGTCTTTCCTTTGGGCTAACTTCATAATCAAACCTGCTCAGTGCCATTCAGTCATGCACCTGGCAACCCTCAGAGTTCATTAAGTGGCCTGAAGGGAACAGAATTCCCAGCCCTGCCTTGTTGGAAGAGTGCTTTGACACGTCCATGCCCTTCCAGGACGCTTATTGGCCTATGAATGCTGCACCTCAAATGTCAGTGTCGAGGGACTGGGATCCTGTGTCCCTGCCCTATTGTTCTGTAACTTGGAGAAGCATGTGGGCTCAGTGCAGGCAACTTATTTCTGGCTCTGCCAGAACAGGAGCTTTTTTTCATTGTTTAGCCATCTGAACAGAAGAAATAAAGCGGAAGTAGGCTCGGCACATGTGTTCATCAAGCTGCACAAATTCCCATCTGCTCTGGGAAGTGTTGACGAGAACACAAGGATTCCTCTTCCTGAGAATGTTGTTTACATTATGTAATCCTAGATGCGGCATGTGGGGGACTTCCGGGTACAAATACTTGATCCACAAGCCATGTAGAGCTGCTGGATATGAGTGCACTGACAAGTATATGTGATAGATGCTATACATAACTATGTGCATGCATATATTTATATATTTATGTTCATATTTTAAATATGAAACATGAAATATAGCATATTATCTTTGCATCCAATAGTTAACAGAGCAGATGTCTTTATATCCTTAAAAATAGAAGAGAAACGTTAAAAGTTCGTTGAGGAGGAATTGAGAGAAAGATCATGTGTTGTGGGTAAGGTGTTAATTTTTACTAGTAGGAGTCAGCACTGTGCTTTTCGCAGAGAAGAATGGGCAGCCTGGGTTCTTGGACTTTGGAAGGCAGAAGAGCGTTCTCTGTTTCAGACGAGTCAAGCTCCAGTCCTGGCAGGCAGATGTCCTCCTCTGATGGGGGGCAGCCATACCAGTCAGACTCGGACAGCTCCGTGGAAGAAAGTGACTTCGACACCATGCCAGACATTGAGAGTGATAAAAACGTCATCCGGACCAAGGTACCTCTCTCTGCCTGGCTGTCCTCTCTGAAGTGCAGTTGATTACAACTTCAGCAATGCCTTTGCGTCCTTTATTTGTTTTCCTTCAGGAGAAAGTCATATTTCCCAAAGGGCTTTTTAGATAAACTATAACTACAGACTAGAAGCAATCCTCTAATTAGCACTTCTGTCTGGAGGGAGAAAGTGAGAACTTTAAAGAGAATCAGAACACCCTCAGGGTCTGAAGTGACAGCTGTGGACAATAAAGGAGGGAGGGATCCAATCCTATGTAAGAATAGATCTACTGAAGGGTGGGAGAGAATTTCTGGTTCTGTGCATATCATCCTTTATGAGTAAAGTGTGCTTTTTTCTGGTGTATACTTATTATATTGTGTTTATCTGGGAAAGTGTATGAAGGTGAATTGCAGTTTCAGTCCTACAATTCAAGAACCATACTGTGGAAACTAGGAAATCAATTATTGAGATATAAGAAGCATTTGATTCCCAATAGTTTTTCCACATCAGCCAATCCTTAATTGTCTAAGAAGAAATAATGGGATTTTTATTATGGTATTCTGGGATAAGCAAGATTAAAAGAAAAATCGTGTTAAACAAATTTAATTAAGTTTGTAAAGCTCTTCTTTGTATCTTACGGAGAAATAATAATAATAATAATTTAAAAAAGCAAGTACAGTTTTGCATTTTCTTTTTATTTGGCTTCCCAGATGTTCCTTTACCTGTCAGATCTGTCCAGGAAGGATCGGAGAATCATCAGCAAAAAATATAAGATTTATTTTTGGTGAGTAGATGACCAAGAAGGCCATAGTTATCTTTATTAAAATTTAAAGTTTTTTTTAATAACTCTGTTACAGGTTTTAGTGTTTAATGAAGCACAGATATAGGTGGTTTAAGAATCCATGCCACATTCCATAGGAAAAATAAACTATAAAAAGCAACCAGCCCTAAATTAATAAATACAAAGGAAAAAATAATGGTAGTAGACTCCCATATGTACAGGGAGCAAACCAAATTCTCTTCCAGAAGGCTAATGCAACAGTAACATTAATGTCACTACCTTGCATGAAACATGCTAATCTGCAGCCATCTCCTCTTCTCACCAGGCCCTGCTCTTGGACGAACCAAGAATTTCAGGGACTGGATGCTAGAGCATCTCAGAGTAGCTAAAAACTACCCTAGGCCCCAAAACCCCAGGCTGACACTGTGACGGGTCTTCCAATTCCTTTCTCTTCCCTATTATTTTTCCCTTTAATTGGATACAGATATTAGAGGAAAACAAGGGACAGTGTGGCCCACGTGGAATTTCATAGTGGAACCTTCATTTTGGAACTAAGAGGAATCTAAGAGAGCCACATCCCTTTGTGTGATCCATCTCCCATGACTTGCATTCTGACCATGTTTCCTCTAACAACATCCTTAAGCAATAGATTCTCATTAGTAATCTGGTTAAATCAGAAGCAAGTATTATTTACACTGCTTTAGAAATGACTGGAGAAACAAGAACCACATTATCAGTTTGTAATTGCTTTTGTGAGTTGACTAAGGACTTATGGAGCAAAAGCATTCTTTTTTTAAAAACTTGAACGAAGATTTCATTGTTGATTTGGAAATAGCTATTTCCGGTTCTTTCTGCCTGCATAGGAACATCATCACTATCGCTGTGTTCTATGCACTACCTGTGATCCAGCTGGTCATCACCTACCAGACAGTAAGTGCTGCCCTGAACCCAGAACCCACACTCTCGTACTGCAGGGAGAGAGCTTTACTGTGACATACAGAGGAAGGTATAGCTTGGGATCAGTCCAAAAATTAGTTTCCCGCTTGGGTTCTAATTGGACTTCTCCAATGCTTCATCTTTGATCTTTAAATCTAATTCCCAATTGTTTTATCAGAGGGAGACTTGGGACCTCTTGTATGGTTTTGTCTACCAATCCGAAATTATTACCTTGCACTCATTCAGTTATAATATCTATCAATTGTGCCTCTGATTTACCAGTCTGAACTCGACCATGATGGGATAGTGAGCAGAGTAAATAAGTTTCCAGATCAAAACAAAGATGCCTGATGTCTCATTTAGCCTGTGTCCTCTCACAAAGGGGAAATATATTTTGTAAAAGTAAAAATAGCCTCATAAAACTAAAATATATTAAAACAAAAAGAAAACAAAATAAATAAATAAAAAAACAACAAATAAACATAATAATTAAAATAGCTTAAGAATCCCTAATACTCCTTCATAAAACCCAAGAGTCCAGGTCACTTGAGTGACCTTCTCTCGGATTTATTCTCTGTGAGAAAGTCCATTTAGATTAGCACGAGGCTGAAGGTGTTTCCAGTGCCGTGGTTCTCAAGCTTTGTTGTGCATTAAAAACATCTGGGTAACTTTTTAAAATCCCAGAGTCCAAGCTGTACTCCATAGCAATTAGGTCAGAGTCTCTTAGAGTGTAATTAGCCATCAATATTTATTAAATGCCCAGTGATTCCAGTGTACAGCCAACTTTGAGGACCAAAGTTCTAATAATATTTAGCCAATTTCATATTTACTGCATGAACTGCATTATGGGAACAAGTACTTTATGAGCTCTGAATACCACAGTTTATAAATATTCTCTGAATCCTTTGGGGTCCTGTCAGAAGACATATCTGTGGTCTGGGAAGATTCTTGATGATAGAGATAGTGATAAACATGGAAAAGTGAACACCATATCCTCATGTCTACCTGCACTGCGGCTGTTTTCACAGAGGATGGGACAGCTTCATGTCTCCCAGCATTCATTGAGAAAATAGGATATATCATGGCAGCCCTAATACGCATGTCCCAATGCTAGCATCCTTTGATATTCCTTTTATCATGAGAACAAAGAAAACAAACTCAGTTGAATTCCACTTTGAGGCCGCATAATGGGGAAGATAGAATATTTCAATTCAAAGCAAGATGGTAGCATCTAAAGGAAATGTGCCTGTGCTGAGAGAACGTGGCAGATAATGACCCAGCCTGATGAGAAGGAGTGCTGGTTGCACTGCGAGTCACAGACAGTCTATTATTGTGAGCAGTGCTGCTTTTTGTGATTTCAGGCTTGGCTCAGGGGCCTGAAAAAACTGCATCTCCTCCTCTCACTCTTGATTTTTCAGGTGGTAAATGTCACTGGAAACCAGGATATCTGTTATTACAACTTCCTCTGTGCTCACCCCTTGGGCGTCCTGAGGTAAGCCCAGTCCACCGGTTGCCCATGAGGCTTTTAGAAATGCCTTTCTATGTAATGCTGGAATCTCAGTTTTTAAAAAATACAAAAACATCTGTGGAAAACTACCCCCATCGTGGATAAAGAGGAATTTAAATCAAGAAGTAGAGACCAGATATACTTCTCTCCTTCCTATAAAAGGTGTCAGGAAATGTTCCTAAGAATAAGCTGCTGAGGCGAGGGCAGGGATGTTTTTTAAAACATCAGGTTCCTGGTTGAGATGACACTTTTCCATGGGCATGAGCTGCAAGTACATTCAACCTATTAAACAACCTTGTGAGGAAGACAGTGTCTCTATCACCATCATCCTTTTAGATGAAGATGCTGAAGGTCCCTCAGCTGTCAGTGATGTAGGAATTTGAACATTTGCTGCCTCTAAGGCCATGCTGTAGCCTCCAGAAGTGGAAAGAGTATTAGCCTGGGAGTTGGGAGCCTGGCTTCTCTAGAACAAGTTTTCTGAATTAAAACCACTGGCTGTTACCAGCTAACATCCTGAAATTCACACACATAATCAATGAGACTTTCCTTTCACAGTGTAGCTGAAACATTTGCCCATACAGCTCATCTTTGGAGCATCTCTCTTTCCCAGGATTCATTGCATACCAGTGCTTACAGGACCAGAGAGGACTGGGAGCATAATAGGGAAGCACAGTGTGCATCCCTGAGAGGAAGCAGCCACATTTTACAGGCATGGCATCCTAAAATGAAAGGTTAAAGATGATCTCTGGTGATTTTCCAGTTCTGGAATCTTATGAAAAGGTTACGGGTGAAAAACACAAATGCTGAGTTCCCTCGCTAATTCATGCATTCATTCTCAAAATCTCTGATTGCCTGACTCTCTCATGGTTTCTCTCTCATCCCTTTAGTGCCTTCAATAACATTCTCAGTAACCTGGGGCACGTGCTCCTGGGCTTCCTCTTCCTGCTGATAGTCCTGCGCCGGGACATTCTCCACCGAAGAGCCCTGGATGCCAAGGACATCTTTGCCAAGGTGAGCAAAGGGTGGGTGAATCAGAAGTGGGAGCCACAAAGGTTATGATCCAAAAAGGATCTATAAAAGGGGAAGAACATCTTATTGGTGGTGATTATGGTTTATGATGTTTGAGGCCAGGCTTGAGCTTCCAGGTTCTGTGGCTTTGTCATTCTCTGGTGTCTTTCTGTTGACCGTGCTCTCTCCTTTTCCAGGAATATGGGATTCCCAAGCACTTTGGTCTCTTCTATGCTATGGGCATCGCATTGATGATGGAAGGCGTGCTCAGTGCTTGTTACCACATCTGCCCTAATTACTCCAACTTCCAATTTGGTAATTAGAATTTACATCAACTACATAGATTTGAGTTATAGGAGTCTTATCCTGGGACCCTCCCAAAAATGCCAAGGTCATACCCGCAAGAATTAAATACCATTTTACATGAGCTAAGGGCACCTCACTACAGGGCATGGTTTCCACATATTGTACTGTTTTTTTCTCTCTGATCATGTTTTAGACTAGAAAACTCCTAAGACTGAATGTTATTCTCGTGCCACACCTGCAGGGGAGCCATGAGCTAATCATTAGGTGGCAAGTCAGGTAGAATTCACCAACTAGAGTCTAGAAAGGGCCTTCGGTATAACTTGGCCTAATTTAGCAGTTAGATTACTTTGGGATGGATGTAATAGAAAAGCCTATTCAAGTTGAATGAAATAATAAGGACATTTATCAGCTCACCACCTGAAACTCCAGAGGCGGAAATGGCTACGTAGTAGCTCTGGTTCCACTTCTCACCCTGTTGCTTTTATCCTCAGACTGTCAGGGAACTTATAATGGCAAATATAGTGACAGCTGATTCTGGCTTCCTGTCTCCACCCCATGATGTTGGGAGGACACAGCTTCAGGAGCCTTCATTTAAGAGAATGGAAACGTCTTTTCTAAAATCCCCCCACAGTTCAGTAGCTTAAACAGTCATGAGCCCAGTCCAGAATCATTCCCTATGTGCTAGTTAGCTCAGACGTGGGTTTCTACACTCATCACAGTGGCAAAGGTGAGATTACCTTTAGATCAATGGGAACTATCCCTGGAACCAGGGGTGGGGTTAGCCTTCTTGAAGCATACTGGCAGGAGGGTATGCATTTCTGAATTGAAAACAGGGCTATGAAGTTTGAATTAGCACTGAGCTGCTGTCAGGAAGCAGGGGGAAGAGGTGATGCTGGTAGTAGGCAACTAACAATGTCCTCTGTACTCAAGAATAAGGGTTTCGCCAAAACCGGTTTGGCTCAGTGGATAGAGCATCGGCCTGCCGACTGAAAGTTCCCAGGTTTGATCCCGATCAAGGGCATGTACCTTGGTTGTGGGCACATCCCCAGTAGGGAGTGTGCAGGAGGCAGCTGATCAGTGATTCTCTCTCATCAATGTTTCTAACTGTCTATCCCTCTCTGTAAAAAATCAATAAGATATATTTTTTTAAACATAAGGGTTTCTGAAACAGTCATTTTTATGTTTGTGCTCTAGCCTCTGTCTATTAACTTAGAACACCACAGAAATTCTGTCTTATTTTATTTATTTATTTTTGCTTAATCCTCACCCAATGATCTCCTTTCCAATGATTTTTAGAGGGAGTGGAAGCAAGGGGGGAGAGAGAAAGGAAGAGAACCATTGATGTGAGAAAGACACATCAATTGGTTGCCCCCTGGACATGCCCCAACCCAGGCCAGGATCGTACCCGCAACACAGGTACATGCCCTTGACTGGCAATCGAACCAGGAATGTTCAGTCTAATGTCCAAAGTTTTAACCACTGAGGAAACTGGCCAGGGCTCTCTGTCACATTTTAATTTTTTAAAATTAGAAAACATTTTTAAGAGGGAAAACTATAGAGAACAATATCATTCACCACTCAGAATGAACAAATGCCAATAGTTAAAAACATTTGACTTAAATCTACTTTTTAAGAAATAAAATATTGTGTAAAGTTCTTGGTTGAACTACTTTCCAAATTTATTCCTCTCTTTCCTTCCTCAGGGGCAACAACCATGTTTAATTTGGTATTTATTCTTCCAGTTTGTTTTCATAATTTTACTATATTTATAGTAAATTGATATTAATTTACCACACTGCAACCTTTTTTTTTCACCCAATAATATGTTTTCAAGATTTATAAATATTGAATCTAGGACAGCTAGTTCATTCATGGTTTTGAGGATTGTCATATTCTGTGCTAAAAATATATCACATTTATTAATTCCTCTATTGAACAACCTTCAGATGTTACCAACATTTTGGTGTTACAGATAGTGCTACCGTGAACATCCTCATGCTCAGCCCTGTGTATAGGTGAAAAGGGTTCTCTGGGATACCTAAAAGTGGAATTTGGGGGTCACCTGCAATGGAAGATGTGCATCTTCCATTTTACCAAAAGCTGACATGTTTCTCTCCAGAGCATTAATTCCCACTCCTGCTAGCTGAGGGAGAGTTCCCATTTTCCCACATCATCCCTGGTGTGTGTTATAGTCAAGTATTTAAATTCTTATTAGATTATTTAGTAACGTGGACTATTGCATTGTTGTTTTCATTTGCATTTCCATAACTCTCATGCAGCTAAGCTACATTTAATTTCTAGCTGATGGACATCCCTAGCCTATAAAGCTATGCAGGAGCAGCCATCAGTGTGGTTGTATTTCAGGATGCTGAGAAGGGCCTCCTACATTCACCTAGGATTCATTTTCCTGCCTTAATTGTCACCATTAGGGCTTTTTCTGTTAGCCCTCACACTGCCTTAATTGTCACCATTAGGGCTTTTTCTGTTATTGTTGTTGAACACCAGCGTTTAAACACAAACACCCCTGTGAGTGGGAATAGTCAATTATTTATCATACTAGAGGCCAAATGCACGAAGATTAGTGCAAGAATGGGTCTTCCTTCCCCTGGCTGCCAGCACCACCTTCGCTCCGTCCGGAGCCACCTTTCCGGCTTCCCACGCTGCCCAGAGACCCCGAGTAGCTGGGGTGGTGTGGAATGCCTGTGTCCCATCCTGCCACCGCTGCTCAGTGCCTGCATATGCAAATCAACTTACCATCTTTGTTGGGTTAATTTGCATACTCACTCCTGATTGGCTGGTGGGTGTTGCAAAGGTACAGCCAATTAGCATGTTTCTTTTTTATTAGTGTAGATCATCAGATAAGTGTCTTCTGTGAACTAGGCACAGCTTTGGAGGGATTCAGAAGTGGAATATATGGGGGTTGCCTAGAGAATGTGCCTGGAAGGCAGACATATTGGAGGTCTCCACATAGTCTAAGGGCAACAGATACCCCAAGGCCTAAAGGGAAGGGGGTTTCTGAGGCTGAGGAGAAATGTCTGTTGCCTGCTGGATCCTAATGCTCTCGGCTCCTCCTCTGCACCTTCAGACACCTCCTTCATGTACATGATCGCTGGCCTCTGCATGTTGAAGCTCTACCAGACCCGCCACCCAGACATCAATGCCAGCGCCTACGCCGCCTACGCCTCCTTCGCCTTCGTCATCACACTCACGGTGCTCGGCGTGGTACGTCCCTCCCCATGACTTCAGCCTTCCTTACAGAGCGAACCCTCCTGGAAGGTTTTCTGTTGTTTTTGGGAGCCCAGGTGGACAGAATAGAATTAATCGTAATTGGTGGTTCATGGCACTCTCATCGTTGATCTGTTCATGGCATTTTACTTCCTTATTCAGCTAGTTATTTCTATAATGTGAATGGCACCTGCAAAACTACCCCTCAAGTGTTTTAATATAAAGCTGGGACGTCACTCGGGTGAGACAGAAGTAGGGGTGTGTAAGATTGGAGAGACTGACTTCAGAGATTGGAGACCACTTTGTAAGCAGGCATGGACAAGTGTTACCTGTCTGCAGGCATTCCAAGAGCAGTAGCCCCCAACTTTAAACCTCTCAGCCCTTCGCCACTGCTGTTGAGTTGCCTCTCCCCTTTCCATTTTTATTTGGCCAGCTAGCCATTCTTTTGCCTGCCCTGGGTGTAGTAAGATCCCTATGAGATCAGTGAAGGGGATGAGGTGGGGGGGGGGAGGGGGAAGGCAGGGAAACAACGTCATGCACAGCTTGGTTTTTGACTCCTTATGCCGATTTGAGAGAGCTGATTTTACAAGTTCTGTGGGGAAAACACCAGATGAAGGTAATGTCCATCTTTTCTCCTAGGTGTTTGGAAAAAATGACATCTGGTTCTGGGTCATCTTCTCTGCGATCCATATACTGGCCTCTCTCGCCCTCAGCACCCAGATCTACTACATGGGTCGTTTCAAGATAGGTGAGTGCCCTTTTGCATAATACTACACACACTGAGAAAACAGTTCTCCCTGATCCTGAACAGATGTGTTACCAGCCATTGAGAATGCATGCTCTGAATTATGTATTGTGTTTAATAGCATATATTCTCTCCAAAACCTCCTCTCCTTTACTGGATTGCAGTAAACTACTGTCACTAGGTCTAGTCACTTGAGAAACTAAGCTTGCCACACCTCCAGCTGCAGGTCTCAAATGCTTTGCAATCCATCATACTTTGAAAGCACATTTGCAGAACAGCATTTTTACCATTCCACCGATTCTACCTGGAGATGCTTTTGTTTTGTTTTGTGGCATTTAAAAGGGCCATTTCTTGCCCTACCTGGTTTAACTCAGTGGGTAGAGTGTCAGCCTAGTGAAACTCTCATTTCACTAAAGATGACCAATAAACTGATAAATAGAATATGCCTTCATTACAACCTAGACGGTCCAGGTTCTAATTTAGAATTCGAGGCTCCTCAGAACATAGCTCTCCTGCAGAGCTGATCCCCAGCCCCTTCCTCTTTTCTTCTCACCTCTGTCTCTGTCCTGCATCTTAAGGGGTCTCACAGGACACCCTTGTTCTACATCCAAATGGCCACTCCTTGCCCATGGAAGTACATGCTCCAATGGTGCCCCCCCCCCCCCCCCGTAGGTAGACCCGGAAATGGGGCAATGCAGACTCGGAGATCTGGGAGGGGAATCCTAGGGTCCAGGAGTTCAGAATGTGGCCTTGGAGAAGGAGGAGGAGTCCCCTTGCCCTGCAGACTCCTCACTCAGTGAGGAATGAGGGCCTCTGAAATATGAGACCCCTCTTGCCCAGGTCTGAGTGATTCTACATAAGCAAGTGGCTTGTTTACGAGTAGAAGACCCAATAGAATGATTTCTTATCTTGGCAGTTTAGGCTTCCCTTTTGGCACCGGTAGGTTTTCCCTTGGCGCTGATGCAGCCAGTGCCTCCAGCTCCCCAGGGAAGCATCTTTAGCTGGTTGTGTAGAGCATTTGGTTTGGTGCATTGATCCCTTCCCATCCCCCAGACTCAAAGGTGAGTTAAGTCAAACAAAATCAACTCGCAAGCGAAAAATAAGCTGAAGCTTCTGGGTTCTCTCTGAATTGGAAAAATAAAGCTGAGTGCAGATACGGTAGTCCCTCACTCCCCTCTTTCCCAGGAAATACGTTCCAAGTCCCCCAGCGGATGCTTGAAATTGGATCATACCAAACTTTATAAATACTATGGGTTTTTTTTCTTATGCATACATAACTATGATAAAGTTTAATTCCTAAATTAGGCATGATAAGAAGTCAACAATAATAACTAATAAGAAAATATAACATTTATAACAATTTCTGTAACCAAAGTTATGTGAATGTGATCTCTCTCTCAAAATATCTTACTGTACTTAGCTTTTCACATCAAGAAAGCGCTTTACGGCTTCTCTTTGGCTTGTCTGAATGGCAGCGTCAATATTATTGCACTCCAGGGCCATTCTGAAGTAAAACAAGGGCGACTTGAACACAAGCACGGAAATGCCAGGACAGCCCAGGCGGTAACCAACATGCTCCTGAGCTTCCGGTGTGTACGCAGGGGACGCTGTGGAGGCGCCAAGTCAGGTCCGGACAAGTCCTGGGCCTCGCGAGACTTCACCACGCTACTCAGAATAGTGCACGATTTAAAACTTAACAACCTGTTTACCTCTGGAATTTTTTATTTAATATTTTCTGACCCCAGCCCAGCAAGGTAGCTTTGTTGGTTAGAGCCGTGGTTGGCAAACTGCAGCTCGAGAGCCACATGCGGCTCTTTGGCCCTTTGAATGTGGCTCTTCCACAAAATACCATGTTCTGGGTGAGTCTATTTTGAAGAAGTGGCATTACGAATTTAAGTTTAAAAAATTTGGCTCTCAAAAGAAATTTCAATCATTGTACTGTTGATATTTGCCTCTGTTGACTACATCGTCCTGATACGCCAAAGTTTCAGGTTCGATCCCCAGGCAGGGCCCGTAAAGAAGCAACCACTGGGGACATGAACAAATGGAACAACAAACTGATCTATAAATAAATAAATAAATAAATAAATAAATAAATAAATATAAATAAATAAATACAAAGTTTATAATACATTATTTTAAATACATTATTAAATAATTTAAAATACATTATTAAAATAACCCGTTCGACTTCAGGTAGCTGAAACTGCGGAAAACAAAACCACGAATAAGGGGGGACTGCTTATGTGTGATGACCATGACTCCATAGAGGAGTTTTGAATACATTTATACCACATGTATATTATATACCACCTTTGCCCCATACAATTTTGCAATGCTGAATTCGATTATCTTTATGAAAAGATGGAAGTGAATGCATTATGTATGGCCAGGTAGCATATACCCGCCAGGGACTCAACAGAAAAAAGCTGCCACACAAAGACAGAGGAGGTTTGTTCGTGAGGGACTCTTCTTGTGACAGGGCGGGCGGAGAGGAGTGGAGGGTGGCCCGCAGCCCCGGGCTGCAGTGGGGAGGCTCTGCCGGTCCCCAAGCCCAAACGGACAAGCAGACCGGCGGGAGGTGTCACCAAACAGGCAAAGGGAGCGGGGCAGGAGGAGGCCACCCTGAAAAGAGCAGGGACCTTCAGGTGACAGACACAGGAAGGGCACCAGGGAAGTAAACCCCCTAAGGTCGCTTTCCTTCCGCTGCTCCTCCATCTCCTTTGGGGTCTCCATTGACCAAATCCATGCAGGAATCCCCCCCTCCTCTCCCTCCCACACACACACACACACACATGTCCGCAGTCAGCCTGCAGGTGGTGCGGGACAGAATCGTGTGTGCAAAGTAAGCAGGTCTGAAGGGGCAGCCAGAGGCATCCAGTGTGTAGCTTAATGGAATAGCTTCCATTTGCTCCCCCAGGAGTCTCCCCCACGTGGTTATAAACTTCCCAGAGTCAAAAACAAAACTCTCATTTCACTGTGACAGCGATTGCATCCAGATTTAGTTCCCAGGCAGGAAGCTGAGTGAGTGGACAGAGGCACCTCTCTGCCCTTGTCATAAGCTGCCTTTGCCTTCTCAAACCGCAGGCTTCTTTCTCTGCAGCCCTGGGGCCACACTTGACAATAAACACGGACACAGGAAAGGCAGCAGGAGGGAGGCAGAGCGTTTCATACGGGGACAGAGACCCGCAGACCTGTCTGCCCAGGTCGCTGCCAGGTCCCTAGAAAAGGACCCCAGAGATTGCTCATGAGCAGGGTGGGCTGTGCATTGTAAGCGGGACACAAAAGGAGAAGAGAAATCTGATTCTCCCCTGGACAAATAATTCATTTTTGAATGTTTGAGAGAGGCAGGAAAAGCCTGTTCTTTACCATGAGCCAACGTGACTTTCCTAACCGGAAAATAACTTCCAAGTCATTCATTTAGAGAGTAAAAGAAAATAAGCAGCTGAAACCGGTTTGGCTCCGAGGATAGAGCATCGGCCTGCAGACTGAAAAGTCCCGGGTTTGATTCCAATCAAGGGCATGTACCTTGGTGGCGGGCACATCCCCAGTAGGGGGTGTGCAATAGGCAGCTGATCGATGTCTCTCTCTCATCGATGTTTCTAATTCTCTATCTCTCTCTCTTCCTCTCTGTAAAAAATCAATAAAATATATATTTTTTTAAAAAAAGAAAGAAAGAAAATAAGTGGTAGTTCACCTGTTTGGCTACCTTCTGACAGCTCTTTCTCTTTCCCATACTCCTCTGCTTCCCACTGGTTCAGACGTGTCTGACACAGGTAATGTCCAGCAGCCCTTCGCAGAGTCCTAGATTGTTTCCTTGGCAAGCGACCCTCCTCCGTGTTTCCTGCAGCCCCCAGAGCACCTCCCTCCCTGTGGGGCAGGGTGGCGGGCGGGGGAGCCAGAGAGAAGCCCAGCCTGTGCATGCTTTTGGGCTATCGCATGGATATGCCTCTTCTCCCCTCTGTGTGTCTGGTGAAGGCTGGCTACATGGACCCCAGGGATAGCATTCGCACGAGAGCTGGACCCACCCTCACTGGATGCTTGCCCAGCTTGCATGTGGTGTCTACAGTGTGGACAGCTCGGAGAAAGACAGTCCATCTGGGATCTGTCTCTGTTCCCATGGCCGCTAGAGCCCGCACCCTCACCATTTCCTTCTTTCAGAGGGATTGCATTTTTTAAAACTCTTTTCTGTCTTGTTCTCCCCGTCGTCACTACATTCCTTTGATTACTGTTCCAGTACAGGTTTGGGCTTTCTGAACATGTCTAGTCAAGCTCAGGATCCCTTGGTTCAATGCTTTAATGGCTCATAACCACTCTGAGAAACACAGATTATAACATTTGCAGCCCTTCTGGAGAGAGCAGGTGTTTTAAGATGGGCCCCATAACCTCTGCTATAAGAGAAACACCACTGGAGTAAACTGCAAACAAAGGGAAACTTAGCGGGAGGAGACCCTAAAAGAGTCGGCCAGCCACCCAGATTACTTGTGATTGTGGTTACACCTGTCCATCTTGCTTGCCCCTCTGCAGTAGCGCCCAGGGATGTGGCACACCCTTCAGGAGAGCACGGGTGGTGAGGTGAGGGTGCCATTTTTAAAGCAAACATTGACTGTGCATCTATCAGCTGCAAAGCACCATTTTTATGAGATGAAGGTGACATCGTCCCAACCCCAAAAGCTCGGGCCCTGTGGGAGTATCTTGTATTATCCCTGACCAAGCCTTCTTACCGTGCTATTGTGTCCCCGGCAGATCTGGGGATTTTCCGGCGGGCCGCCATGGTGCTCTACACCGACTTCATCCATCAGTGCAGCCGGCCTCTGTACATGGTACGTGTGTGCTCCCGCACCCGATGGCTTTCTCCCAGAGAGTGGGGGGACAGCAGGAGGGGCAGGCTCAGGGCAGTGCCTCAGTCTCTCCAGTCCAGAGGGCCAGATGGTCCAGGTGGCTGAGGTCCAGGCAGGGGGAAGAAGCATGCTGTTCATTCTTCTCATTCATAAAAAACAAGCTGGGAAGGTCCCACTTTTATAGATGAAAGAATTCTAGCATAGAAAGAAAAAATATACATGTGGGTATGCACAGAACTATGGAACAGTGATCCCTGCTGTGGGGTGTCCCTGTGAATAACCCTCCAAGGAGGTAAGATAATCACCAGGACGGCAGGTATAAGCCAGACTGTCTCAAGCAAACTGGGACCTATGGCCACTCCGGTAACTTTCCTTAGGAACTTACACTGCCTCCATTATACAGTTGTTTGATTTTTATGCATTGGGCTTGTTTTGTTTTTTTACAATGAGCAAGGATATTTTTTCAAAATTGTGGATATTGCTTAGTGGTTGAAATACAACTTTTTAAAATTTTCCATTCTAGTTTTCGGTATATTATACATTTCTGCACTGAGCACAGGAATCAGGGCCCTGGGCAGAGCTATGTCTTGGCTCACTGGCTACACACCCCTTCTGAGCCACTGCCCCGACCTTCGCAGATGCTCAGGGAACCCCTGTCTGCCCTGCCCAAATAGCATCGCTAGTCAATGGTTCACTTAGCACCCACTAGTGGTTTAAAATCAGAGGGTTTTTACAAATAGGAATGTGAGACTCCCCCAGCCTGCTACAGCTTGTGGAGACCTGTGGGCACTAAAAACGGAGGGGCTGAGGCTGAGGGCTTTCAGTGCTCCCTTTCCTCCTTTCCAGGACAGAATGGTGTTGCTCGTCGTGGGGAATCTGATTAACTGGTCCTTGTAAGTAATCTCAGGAAAACACCTTTTTTCCTCTTTACTGATGTCTCTAACACTGGTTTAGCTTTCCTTGGTTGTCATTTTTATAAAGAAATCTGAAATTAAGGAGACCATAGGATTGAGCTTGCCCTAGAGACTTGAGAGAAAGGTATTTTTCTCCTCAAAGAATGCACTAACAAGCTCTTGTGTACCAATACTGGCCCCTCTTAGAGCGTTGAGTTCAACGCATTGAGTTCATTTGCTCAACAAGACAAACATCAAATTAGTAGATAGATAGATAAATAGATAGATAGATAGATAGATAGATATTATGTCTATAGTTGCAAAGCAATGTAGTTTTAAATATTTTTGTAGAACTTTCCATAAAGGCTATCCAGCCATTTGTCTTAGTCTCTACGCGTGCGCACGCGTGTGTGTGTGTGTGTGTGTGTGTGTGTGTATGTACACGTACATGTCTGTAAAAGTCTCTTTCCTATTTATTATCTCCCCCCAACACCCAGGTCTTGTTTTTCCTACTCTATCTACATCATTCTTCCTCTACTTTCCCCTCATTATTGGCCCTTTTTCCTGCAAATGGCCTCAAAATAGAACTATACAACAGATGTATAATTTTGCTAGCTGTATCTATTTCATGCAACCTATTTTCAACTAAAAAAAATGTGAATGAGCCTGGCCAGATGGCTCAGGTGGTTTGGAATATCACCCTGTACACCAAAAAGGTTTGTCAGGGCTCGTAGGAAGGAGGCAACCAACTGATCTCTCTCTCTCTCTCTCTCTTTCTCTCTCTCTCTCTCTCTCTCTCTCTCCCTCCCTCCCTCCCTCTCTTTCTCTCTCTCTCATTTCCTCTCTCTATCTCTCTCTTTCCCTCTTTCTCTCTCTCTCATTTCCTCTCTCTGTCTCTCTCTGTCTCTCTCTGTCTCTCTCTCTCTCTCTCTCTCTCTCTCTCTTAAATCAATAAAACATATCTTCAGCCCTAGCCGGTTTGGCTCAGTGGATAGAATGCTGGCCTGCAGACCAAAGAATCCTGGATTTGATTCTAGCCAAAGACATGTACTTCGGTTGCAGGCTCTTCCCTGACCCAGGACCTGGTCAGGGCACATGCAGGAGGCAACCAATTGATGTGTTTCTCTCACATCAATGTTTCTCTCTGTCTTTTCCTCTCTGTCCCACTCTGTCTAAAAATCAATGGAAATATATTCTCAGGTGAAGATTAAAAATTATATAAGAATGAGTGAGATATTTTATGAATCCCTCAAAAATAAGTAGGTTTCGCTACTTTTACTAGTAGTTCTTCACTGATGTGCACCTCTGGGTCAGTGACCTTTGGTAGAAAGATAACTCTACTTCTGTTGCCCTTTAAGACACAAAAGGAATGAAAGAGGCATACCTTCAGGGGAAGCCAGAATCTTTTCAGGATAATTTGAATCTTATTGGGGCACTATATGCTTCTGGAAGAAACTCCCCACAGTGCTGCCACCAAGGGAACATGCTACATGAAGAAAGTCAGGTTCAAAAGCCACAGAGTATATGATTTCACTTATAAAGGGCCTCAGGATAAAGCTTATACTTGTGCAGGGCCCCTGCTTTACCCGGGGATGAGTCGAGATGGTTGATCCTTGGCAGTGGTCACCTTGGCTTTTTGGGAATCACCCTTTTAGGGCTTTTTGGGAATCACCCACAGACCTGGTGACTATAAGATGGGGTAAGGAATTTTAAAACCATGGACAACAATCCAAAGTTGGTCATGTGTTTCAAGCCAATTATTGAGATAATTCTACTTCTAGTAATCTAGTCTAATGAAGTAATCTTCAGTGCAAAAGCAAGTACAGTATGTCTGGAGGTGTTCACTCATTCATTGTGGTGTGCTTCATAATAGTGAGAGACTGAAGGGCGAAGGGAAAACCCTTCGTTTCAACCAGAGAGGAAAGATGATTCTTTATGGTGCGTCCACCTATGGGAATTGTGAAAAATGAATGTGCTAAAGGAAATGTAATCTATTAAAAGTTACTTATAATATGTTAAAGAGGGTGGGGTGGTTTTTTTGTTTGTTTGTTTGTTTGTTTGTTTTTTAATTTCCCTCCTTGCAAAAATGGGAGTGGGAACGTGAAAAAGTCAAAATGTCGCAAATCCACCTTCGTGGCTGCAAAATAACCCCTCCCTTTTGCTCAGCGCCCTCTTCGGCCTGATCTACCGGCCCAGGGACTTTGCCTCCTACATGCTGGGCATCTTTATCGGCAACCTGCTGCTCTACCTGGCCTTCTACATCATCATGAAGGTAAGCGAGGCCCTGGGAGCCCAGCGCCCGGCCCGCGGCTGGCGGTGCAGGCAGCTCCGCAGCCTCCGCTTCTCCCCGCAGCTCCGCAGCCTCCGCTTCTCCCCGCAGCTCCGCAGCCTCCGCTTCTCCCCGCAGCTCCGCAGCTTCCGCTTCTCCCCGCAGCTCCGCAGCCTCCGCTTCTCCCCGCAGCTCCGTAGCCTCCGCTTCTCCCCGCAGCTCCGCAGCTCCGAGAAGGTCCTCCCCATCCCGCTCTTCTGCATCGTGGCCACCGCCGTGGTGTGGGCCGCTGCCCTGTATTTCTTCTTCCAGAATCTCAGCAGCTGGGAGGTAAGAGGAGGGTTTTTTTCCCCAAGGTGTGGTCTCTCTCCATCTGTTTTCTGGTCATTTTGCTTCCCTCTCTCTGTGTGCTAGCTGCGGTTTATCGTTTTTATATCCTCTCAAACAAAAGCTTTCTCTAAAAACCTTATATCCACACACAAATGCTCAGCGATTGGCACATTGTCAACATGATCAGGGTAGCACTCACAGATGTGTAAGTCCTACAGACTCTGCAAATGTGGCCTTCCTGTTGTGTTGTGTTTTGATCCTGTTCTCAGTGAATGTTTAACATGTGCAAAGACGTTGGTGAATGTTTCTTCTCCCCCTTTCTCATCATAATCACCATCCATAAACCCGTATCCATGTGCAGGGGTTTATATGTCTATATCATAGACTGGAAAGCTGAGGCCTAGGAAATCAGTGATATTTCTGAAGCACAGAGCATGTAAGTCTCCACTTCCATTTCCGCAATCACCAAAATCAATTTTAGAACATTTTATCACTCCATAAAGAAACTCTCCATTTCTCCTGAATTCCTTAGCCCTAAGCAGCCACCAAACTATCTTTTGTCTCTATAGATCTGCCTGTTCTGGACACTTCTTAGAAGTGAAATCATATACTCTGTGGCTTTTGAACCTGACTTTTGTCATGTAGCATGTTTCCTAGATTCATCCATGTGGTAGCATGTATCAGTATTTCATGTATTTTTATTGCTGAATAATATTCCATTGTATGGATACACTACATTTTTTCTAGTCATTCATCAGTGGATGGACATTTGGGTTGTTTCCACTTTGGGGTTCTTATGAATGATGCTGTTCTGAAAATTCATGTGCAAGTTATTTTTGTGTGTGTGAACATATGTTTTGTTGGAAGCTAACTTTTTTTTCCTTTCATTTTTTTTATTAAGGTATTATATGTGTACATATCTTAACAATTCTCCCACACACATTCCCATGCATGCCCTCCCTCCCCAGAGTTTTGCGCCCATTGGTTACGCGTATATGCTTGCATACAAGTCCTTCCGTTGATCTCTTATCTCCCCCATATGTCCCTACCCTCCCCACTGTAATTTGACTGTTTGTTTGTTGCTTTACTGTCTCTGTATCTATCTTTTTGTTCATCAGTTTATAATGTTCCTTATGTTTCATAAATGAGTGAGATCGTGTGGTGTGGAAGATAACTTTTTGAGGCGAGCATCCAGGGGCATTTGTGTAGCTTTCCGGATGCTCAGCCCTCTGCACAGCTGAACTGTGGGAAGGCCTGTCCACACCCGCCTCGCCTTCTTCCAGGGAACCCCGGCTGAGTCCCGGGAGAAGAATCGGGAATGTGTTCTGCTGGACTTCTTTGATGAGCATGACATTTGGCACTTCCTGTCTGCCATGGCCCTGTTTTTCTCATTCTTGGTGAGTTGACACCTTTTAGTTAATTTCTTCTCTCTTTACATCTGGTACGCTCTCTTTTTTCTCCTCTCCTCTTTCTTACACCCTCTTATCTATTCCCTTCTAATTTCCCTTTCCAATTCTGCATTGTAATTCAATGTACAGACTGTTTCATCTTTACATTGTACTTTCTGGGTAGGTAGTTATTTTAAGACACAGGGTGACAAAATGATTTTCCTTAAGCTTCACAACATTTGGTCATCAGAGCTCACATGCCCAGAATCCCCCAGGCTCTGCTTTTGGCATCCACTCCAATTTCCATAGCATTAGGCTATTCCTTATGCTATCCTCACATTCCTCCTTTCAGTCTCAGTGAACAGAAGTCATTTACAAATTCCCGGAGTAGCTCAGGATAGCATCCAGGCCTCTGTTGCCTTCTAACCTGTCAGTTCCAAATCTTTTATGTAGTCCCTTCATTTCTTAACCCCAACACCTTCCCAGAAGCCACGCGTATGATAACATCCTCGAAAGATAACACCCGGCATTCTTTCACATTAATTTTTACTTTCATAATTAAAAGTACCTGCACAGGTTCATGACAAATAGCAGGAGTCGGTCTCCAGGAGTCCCAATACTGCCCACTTTAAGCAGTCTCTGCTGGCCTTATAGCCTCAATAGTGGAGCAGGGATACCCCCTGGTGGCCAGTCTTAGAAGTTTACTCTGTATACTCTTACCTAAGGCTTCTATTTTTTAGTCACTTTCATTAGAGAGACCGAAGTGGAATGAAAGTAGAGGAGAGGATACACTTTATGCATAGTAACATTTTTTTTTTTTAAATATATTTTATTGATTTTAGACAGAGAGGAAGGGAGAGAGATAGAGAGTTAGAAACATCGATGAGAGAGAGTCATCGATCAGCTGCCTCTTGCACACCCCCTACTGGGGATATGCCCGCAACCAAGGTACATGCCCTTGACCGGAATCGAACCCGGGACCCTTCAGTCCCCAAGCCAACGCTCTATCCATTGAGCCAAACCAGTCCTGGCCATAGTAACATTTTATGCAATAAGACTTCATTTCCTTTAGGTCTTGACCTAAATGGTCCCTTCAAAGTAATGATGTCCTCAGCCATCCTTTCAACATGTTTTTATCTCCCTTACTCCATACATACTTCCATGTTCTTGTCATAGTTTGACTTTTATCCTTAGTACATATTACCATCTAACATACTATACTTAGCACAGATTTCTGTCTAACATACTACATATGTTTTACTCATGTATTTGCTTCATGTCTATAGCCCTCCCTCTTTTTTAAAAAAAATATATTTTATTGATTTTTCAGAGAGGAAAAGAGAGGGATAGAGAGTTAGAAACATCGATGAGAGACAATCATCGATCAGCTACCTCTTGCACACCCCCCATGGGGATGTGCACGCAACAAGGTACATGCCCTTGACCGGAATTGAACCTGGGACCTTTCAGGCAGCAGACCGATGCTCTATCCACTGAGCCAAACCAGTCCCGCATGTAGCCCTCTCTTTAATGTAAGCTCCAGGAGGGTTAGGATTTTTTTTCTCTGTCATTGCAAGTTGTATTTCCAGCACTTAGAATAGCACGTGGTAGGCCTTGGTTAATTAATAAATGAGCTATGTAATTAAAACAAGTGCCTGTTCAGGGCATGGCATTGTAAAAAGCTGCAAAGACACAAAGACGAGTAGAGGCACGAGTTTCAATCCGCATGAGACTCAGAGAGAAAGTAACGACTTCCTGCGGCTGTGACTGTGCATTCGTTTCACTTCTCCATCCCTCTCCTTTCAGGTTTTGTTAACCCTGGATGATGACTTGGATGTGGTTCGGAGGGACCAGATCCCTGTTTTCTGAGCTCCAGCATGCAGAGAGGAGAGAGGAAGCGCTCAATCTCGGTGCTGTTTCATGAAAAATGCAGGGCTCGCAGCAAAGTAACCACTGCCAAACACTCCACTCACCCCCTGTGGAGTCAACTCTGAGTACACTCACACACAGAGGAGAGGAGCAGGGGAGAGTCAAACCTGCAGAGTGGAAGCAGAAGGGAAGATGGGGCTATGGACAGAGGTGAGCCCTGAAGAGTCAAGAAGCCCCCATCCCTTTATGTCGCAACTCTGAACTAAACATGGACAACCGCTGCATCAAAGTCAACTCGCTCTCTTGGGGCTCCTCCCACCCTCACCTGGGGCTCATCAGCAATGGCTGAATGATGCTGCACCCTTTCCTCCAGCTGCCCCCATGCCCTCCAGAAACTGGAGGTGGGCACCCTTTGCACTTCTGTATTGTCTGCTGCTCTAGACATCTCCGAGCACCAGCGCCTTGTCCGGGGTCCTGGGCTGAAGTTGGCTCTTTGGCTGATGGTGGCTCCTCAGAGTCTGGCAGAGGAGTGGACCTGATGCCCTACTCAACTGGGATAGATGTTTTATCAGCACCAGCTGGGCACCCCCTCGGAAGGACTGCTGTGTGTTCCCCCCGGTTCCTCACCTCCCCAGGGACACTGCCACACACTCCCAATGGGCCTGTCACACACTCCCAACAGGTTGCTGGGACCAGAACTTGGGTGCTTACCTATTCCTGGTGTCTTCATCTCACTCCTGCGTGTTGACCCCAGCGCTCAGGCTCCGCCTTCTCCAGAAGGGCCTGTTACCCCACAGACCAGCTCCAAGATGGAAGGGAAGTGAGAGAACTTTTCTAGTAGCAGGAAGAACAGGAGAAATGACCTGCAGGGCTGAGGCGAGTGACATCAGCATCAGGCAAACATGCCTCACCGTAAGGACTTGGGCTCCTGGAGAAATCCAGCCAGGGCAAAGGGGCATCCTCGCGCCTCCAGTTCAAACAGCGCGATTCTGTGCCCACGTCACCTTTGGGGAAGAAATGGGTGTTTCAGCAGGGACCCTGCACTGACCCAGCCCTGAGCTGTCACTTTCTGCAGATCAGGTCCTGCAGGCATGCTCCCTGGAGTTCTCTAGAAGCAACTCTCGGGGCCGTTGCATTTTACTCCAACTCTCTGGTTGCAAAGAGCGCAGGGCATTAAGGATTGTCTTGGTCGCACCTGATTCTCATTGTTTCCTGGGAAGGTGTTGAGAGCTCAGCATCCCACTTCCCTCCCCACTGTCTGGCTGCTCTGCCCCTGAGAATCCTACTCTGACCAGGCTCCTCGTTACCCGAGTGGGATGTATGTACCCAGAAACTATGCACACCGATGTGCACACGTGGATATATCTGCCTGTGAAATCACCTTTCACCTTGGCTTTCCTGGTCGTTCATTAGAGAAATGCACCAGCCATTTAAAAAATTTTAAAAAGCAACTATTATCCTTTCTCTAAGATATCTGATAATGTTCAAAAACATTATGGAAGTTTGAATGGCAAACTTCCCCTGGTTTTAAAAACACAAAGATGCTTTTAGTGAAATATTTTGTGGTGTGTGTGTGTGTGTGTGTGTGTTTTCCTAAAATGCCCCCAAATTTGTAATTGGTCTTCTGTTACTCTTTATTCCTCAAAAACTGTTGGCATCCCACCCTCGAGACAAAAATCCTTGTGTCACTTACATGGTCGTGGTACGATCACATGAGCTAACACATACTGGTGAAAGTGTTCTATAAAATAAAAACTCATAAAAAAATATATTGTTGGCTTGCGTAGGCCGTATGAAGGCCACCTATTAAATGATTGTGTTAGTCTAACATCTAAAACAAATTTTGAATCTGTTTATGGCTGATTTGAATTAATTTGTTTCTTTAAACGTGCTAATGATTTCAAACCCAGAAGAAAAAAAAGGATCCACTAAGGAAATGTGAACAAAGTCTGTTCAAGAAGCTCTGTGGCCTGAGGTGAACACATTGTGAGACACATTACCTGTTTGGTAGCTTTTTGGGAAAATACGTCCATGGACAAGGGGAGAGCCTTGCAGAGATGCATAAATTGTGCTGCTGTATTCTTGACCATTTCCTGATGTCTGTCTTGTACTATAAACTCTCACACTGTGGTCAGTTTTGTTCTCTACAGCAGGACTACAAACCCAGACCGCGCCCACTCATATAAGTATTAATCCTACAGCTACTTGTGGCTCATTCTCTCTACAGTGCCCATCTCATGGTTGGAGGGCACTGGAGGGGTGGGTAGTGGGTAGGAATGCGGTCCAGAGTTTTTTAGAGCCGCTGGGCCTCTCCCCCTTAGCACAACGCCTGTGCTCATGGACTTCACTCTTGACAGAGGAAGGGAAGGCAACTCTGAAGGCCCAGGCCAACAGGAGGGTAATTGGAGAAAAACAACCCCTGCGAGGCGGGTCCTGGCAGAGCAGGCCCGAGAGTCACAAGAGCAGTTCAGCTGGAGCAGGACTGTGATGGGGCGGCCAGGGGGCAGGACAGTGCCCAGGGAAGTAGCCTTTTCACACCTCAGGGGAACGCTGCCCAGGCCACGAGGCCACGCACCTGCCGTGCTGGAAGGTGCGGCTTAGCCCGGGTTATTTTAGCACCGGCGGAAGCCAAGGGGGAAGCGGGATCCGTCTGAGGAAGGGACTTTCCATGACCCAGCGTTACCCGGCCAGCTCCCGGGGCAGAGAGAGCTGCAGCTGCTGCCGCCTTCAGCTCCAAACAGCCACCGAATGCTCTGCGGGGCCGCGAGAAGGGATGCCCACATGTTTCTCATTCCGGGAGTCAGTCTCTCCAGGCAAAGCCTGGGCCAAGGGAGAGAACAATAAACGTTCTTCATAGAAGGAACCGCAGAGTCAGAGCAGGATCCTTGCACCAGACTTTGATCCAAATACATTGGCTGTGGGACCCCCAGTAAGTTGCTGGAATTCTCTGATTCCCACCTTCCCATGCAGGTGACACTCCTTGAGGGTGACAAAGGTGGAGGTGTGCAGAGCACAGGAGCCGTGCCCACACAGAACGGCCTGAGCCAACACCACAGGCAGGCAGGGCCAGGGCAGATCTCTCCCCTCTGGGTCTTCCTCCTCCCGTGGCTCCTGACACCTACCTGTTCTGTTCCGTTCCCCGCCCTGTGGGTTCCTGGAGGCCCTCAGGGAGGCCCTCGGAGATACTGCCCAGAGCTATCCTCCCTCCCAGCCCCACCCTCCTCGCCCCTTGTTGCTGCATTTCACTGCCTCTGGCCCTCAATACTTTTATTCCAACTCGGGTGAAAAGTTGCTACCACAGCTGGGGCCAAGCTGGAGGTGAAGCTGGGTAAGATGCCACTCTTCACCGCGGCTGCTCCACCCAGACTGGCCTCCTCTCTCCAGCAGCTATCACTGCCAGTGCAGGGAGCACCCTGTGCAACTGTTCCCCATTCTCCCCGCCCACCAGCCCATCACCAAAGGCCCGCAGCTCCTGTGGAGCAGGGCTTCCGTCTGCACGGACACAGCAGATCCCAGAAGGAGGAAGCGTGGGGGGTCCCTTGGGTTTTGAAATGACCTTGCTCACCACAGTTCTGCCCGGTTTTTAATTTTTTTAAATATATTTTATTGTTTTTTTTTACAGAGAGGAAGGAAGAGGGATAGAGAGCTAGAAACATCGATGAGAGAGAAACATCCATCAGCTGCCTCCTGCACACCCGCTACTGGGGAAGTGCCTGCAACCAAGGGACATGCCCTTGACCTGAATCGAATTGGGGACCCTTGAGTCTGCAGGCCCAGGCTCTATCCACTGAGCCAAACCGGTTTCAGCCAGTTTTTAATTTTGTTTTTAAACCTGTTTGGAGAAGGTGTACCAGTGGGGCTCAGTATTGACATCTCCTCGATGTCAAGGCACCTAACCTCAGGCCTTCCCACAGGCATTCAGATAGGCGTGGCAGGGTCCTGGGTTAGCTTCTCCTCTGAGTGTCTACAAGGCCACAGTGATAGAATCTTCATTCGGACAGGACTCTGCAAAGGGGCGGCTGCTCTGAGCTCCAAGGAGGGTTGGAATTCCTCATATGGCTTTCCTGTACTGTGGTCTTTCTGTGCCCATTGAAATACAAAGAACATGAAGTGTTTCCCTTCATTCACACAGAATGGTCCTCTACCGCCCCAAATCTTAGGGAAATGGAGCTCCGCCCTCTTCCTAAATATCTCCAGATTCAATTTCATAATTACCCCTGAACTCTACATTTTAACAAATTCCTTGGTTCTGGTCTATTTTTTTTTTTAATTGCCTTGAATTCCCTGTCATCTAAAACATCATTTCTCTGGAGATCAATGATAGCTGATCACCATATTTTAGCACAGAACAGCCTTGAAGTCATGTCACATTTTAGTCAAGTGCTAAAGTCTGGGTGCCCATCTCTTATCCCAGCACTAAAGTTATAATTTAGGTAACAAGATGTTTAAATAGTGAAAGATTTTTATGTGAGGACAAGAGAAATCTGGCATACAATCCCATGATGCCTAGCTTCTGGGCCCCTAATTTACTCTAACCCAACATTCTTTATGAATTTTAAGTGAAAGATTATCCAAAATAATCAAAAGCTTTCTATTTTAAGATGCTATAACATTGCCATCTGAGAAAAAAAAAGTATTTTCTTTTTATGATTTTTTTCATAAAAATATAATTTGAGGTTATTTTTCCATTGATTTTTTTTTTTAGAGGGAGTAGAATATAGATGGAAAGACAGAGAGAAACATCAATGTGAGAGAAACACATTTATTGGTTGCATCCAGACCAGTGCCAGGGAAGAGCCTGCAACCAAGGTATGTGCCATTGACCAGAATCAAACCCAGGACCCTTTGGTCGGGAGACTGATGCTTTGTTCACTGAGTCAAACTAACTAGGGCCTTTTTATGATTTCTTAAAAGTATATTTTATTGATTTTTTACAGAGAGGAAGAGAGAAGGATAGAGAGTTAGAGACATCAATGAGAGAGAAACATCAATCAGCTGCC